AAGATAATATTCACACCAAGATAAATTTGAAATGCGCTTATTGAATATGCAAGTATGGAAGAAATTAAGATGTTGAAATCGCAAAAAATAATCGAATTCGTTTAGCCTGTTGAAAAAATAGTGTTAAGATTCAGATGAGTTTAAAAGCTCCAATGGATACCTACTTTGTAAGCAACAATGTTGTCAACATATTAAATTAGTTGGATGATAGCACTAAGGTATAGATGGAATTGAAGTCTCAGTCGTCACACTACAAACAATTCTACTGTAAAACACTGAAAGGTTTAAACTAACCAAGTAAATTATCTATAAAAACGATCGCATTAATTTAACAAGCTTTGAACTAAAATTGAACGATAAGGTAGTTTGGGCTAAGAGGTAACTAACGTAGTATTCGGTACAGTAACAAAGGATGGCATTTATAATGCAATGTGCATTTATTTGAATTTTAACCGTATTGATCATATCAGCTGGATAGTGAGGCAATTAAAGCCTATTAAATCATTCCTTGTGTGGGCAGTTACCGTGATCTAAGATTATTGACTTCCGATTGTTGTGTTACTTTATTGCGGTATATTAGAGCGGATTTCTGTTTTTTCCATACAGCAAGTAGACCAAAGTTAAAATTATATGCTTTGTTAAACGTATACATCCGCTCGTGATGTAGTATTATTTATTGTGGATTTACTTTCCTGCTACTCTAGTCAATTTTGTTTTTACGTACTTCTCCCAGTATAGCATTATTTATCTTATGCTTACTTAATCATATGCCAGCAAATTAGTCCGCTACCCAAGTCAATCTTACTTTTTTTATTTATCTCACATTTACTTACACATTTGCAAACGAATTAGTTCTTATTTTTCGGCTACTCTGGTTTATCTTATGTTGTGTATCTCCTCCATTTATCACGAAATTATCTTACACTTACTCATCAGTAAGTAATTAATTCTTAGGTAGTCGCCGTGATCTAATATTTTTGACTGCAGATTGTAGTGTTACTTTATGCTATTGCAGTATATTAGAGCAGATTTCTGCTTATTCATGCGGCAAGTACCTTAAGCAAAACCAGAGTTAAATTAATTGCTTTGTTTTATAATTCAATATATGATAAGTAACACTATAGCAAGAGCAGATGTACATAAAACAAAGCAAGCAATTTAACTCTGGTCTTACCATAGTGCTACTTATCATATATTTACGTTCTCGTATTATTCTTTACTTCCCAGCTGCCCTAGTTAATCTTATTTTTACGTATTTCTCCCAGCATAGCTTATTTATCTTACACTTACTTAATCATATGCTGGTAAATCAATCTTATTTTTTTTATTCATATCGCATTTACTTATTTACACATATGCAAACGAATTAATTTTTACTTTCCATCTACTCTAGTTTATCTTATTTCGTGTATTCTCCATGTCCCACCATAACTATCTTGCGCTTATTCATAGATAAGCGACTAAATTCTTTTCCATATCTCCATGCTATCTAGCCAGATGATAATAATATAAGGTAATTTTTTAAAGACATGCCACAATCCTTATTTTATTACAATAGGGACTGATATAGGAAGGTTTTCTATCAATTTACCTTACTGTCCTTTAGCTACTTTATAAACTATTTTCTTGTCAAGTGAGTTATAACTAGTTGGCCACTTTCTACGAAAATTTCGCCAGAGATTATAGGTTCAAAGTAGATACTATTATGTCGGTTTATGCAAATGTTTACCTACTTACAGTGTATGTGCATACATCGAGGCATGCTTAATGGATTAAATTCATTGGATTCTATCGCAAATTATCAAATGACAAGCTCTATCTACATTCATTCCTAAAATAAGAACAACCTATATCTAGTAATTAATCTCTCCGATTTATCCGCGATCACGAGCATAGGTTAAAGTAGAAACTTTATTAAACACAATTAACCGTCGTGCAACAGGTTGCTGCTATGGAGCCTTGGCTATATAGCCATTATTAATTAGTAGATCAAGTTGATACTATTAACATTAAATACAATTAGCAATCATGCAATAGGTTGCTACTATGTAGCATTGGCTATATTGGCATCATTAGTTGGTGGATTAAGTAAACGCTATTAGTAGACAATGTATTACTTAAGTAGGAGTATAATGATTGTAGTTACACCTCGCATTCTGTCCTTTATTATGACAATTGGAAGTAAATTATATTAAATGCTTAATGGACCCCATAAGGACGTAAGGATAATGATATTATGAACTACTCCCAGTTTTCATCATTAAATTGTTCATTCATGGGTATAAAAATTTTTCCAATTATAAACTCAGTTCTACATGGATACAAATATGAACTCGATAACCAATTAACTTTAAGGACTAGTAAAATTATTTTTCACTGTTTATATAATACACACAATTTAGACTTGTGCTATCCCAACTATGGTAAATGAATATTCTTTGTATTATCCTCATAACATTCTTTTAGCGAAAATTATTTACGCACTATGTAAAATATCTCATATAAAGAGAGTGGGTGTTTTAGGAATATTTTCTCTATATCTGACGGTATTAACTTAATAACATACATATCATCATAAGTGCAAAATTTTCCTATAAAAAACTTCAATAACAATATATAAATGACACTATCAAAGCTTTCCCGTAAAATAATTTTTACGAATAGTAAAGCTTTATTGGTCGCAATTGAACTAGCTTAGCATAATAACGGAGTAAAGTTAGAAAACGATAAGATTTGATAATGTTCTTTGATTTGTATATTCAACTACGATCGATTTGGGTATCAATTTGGTAGCAGAAGTGGTACAGAATACGTGAAAATGTCTGTTACTACTCATGCTATGTGATTCTTTACGCTACACAAATCTCTCTAGTAGCTATAAGCGTTGGAAGTAACGGGAAAAGTTGTCTTGGCAATTTTATTATACCTACTGTATACATAGTGTACATCGGTTGGATAACGAAGCTGTGGCAAAGCAGTCATACTTGTCATAGCCATACTAGATATTAGACTGTAATAACTGTGATTGAATTCTTCTATATAATACCGCAACTGGATTATGAATTCTAATTATCAAGAGCTATTGTATTAAACCATAATTTTATGTGCTCCTTCAGTTAAAATCATAATAAATTGAAGATCATCTTATTCAGTATTCAAATCACCTTGGTCGACAAGAAACGAACGTAAACAATTGTAAAATTTCCTACAATCTTATTCCTTTAATACAGTAACTAGTTTCCTATGTTAAGGGATCATAGTATGCTAGCGTTTGTAGTATTCACAGTATAGCGATCAAACGCTTAAGTTAATATCGTGGAAAATGAGTATTCATAATTAATTAGTAGGCGAAATGTTTGAATAGCATACTACTAATGAAAAAATTAAGAGTAGGATACTATTATTACCGAAGGATGTTCAGTATCCATTACATGGATATCAATATACTTTCCTATAAAGTACATTACTACTACCAATAATCGACGTAAATCACTTATCCTTATTTAATAGATTGATGTTATTGCAATAATTAGACATACTATTGATCATCATCTTTATTCTATTTTTAACAGCATTAAATATATGTACGTAGGATATTCTTGCATCCACCCACTTCTATATTATGATTTATGACTGATTCAAAATGTTGTGTAGCACTGCATATTATTGAAGCAATGTAAGAAAATAATATTTTCTAAAATGACAATGGGATAACATCATCGTTGATAGGGTAATAATGACGATAGAGTTCCAGAGAAATTGCTCTATTTCCATTGGGCGTAAAAGGTATACCCAATTTGTATCATTTATATTATTTTGAACCTGGACGACTTTGTATTGATGTAAAATGAAAATTTGGTTTGGTCCTATTTCTGTCTCGGTCAATATGTCAAACAGACAGTTGAGGGCATAAATAATTTAGGATGATGAAAGAATGCCTAAACTTTTATTAATTCTCTGTTTATTATTTCAAATTTCAAATTACTCTTTGTCAATCGCATTATTGATCATAAAAGGTTCAGGAGATAAATAATAATGTAACCGAAAAGAGCCATTCTATGCCATATTATTTGTTTTTACCTTATAAGATAGCTGAAGTTGATGTTGATGAGCAATTAATTGCCATTCTGTATCCTGAAATACATCTGATTAATTTCAATAATACAATTAGAGTATGCCATCCATTTTATTTGTCACAAGTAATCGAAAACATTTCGTACAAAGTTGATAACAAACTTGTAGTAATCTCAATATCAAAATGCCAATAGAAGGCTACTAATGCGTATATCATAGGAATAATGTCTATACCTCCTTTTTTTAGTAATTTAAGTTATAGCCAACTAAACATAAATTTACTCTCTATTTGACACTTACGAGTACTTACGTCATATGTACGAAACGCCACTTATTTTGAATCGAAAAGTTTTATAAATACATTATTGATCTAGGTGACAGTGCGTGAAGGTATTTTGAATAGTGAAGAAAAGATAAAACAGGAATCAAGATCGATATTATAATCAATAAAATGAAAGATAAACATATTCTAAAGTAAAGAGACACATTGGAACAATATTAGAAAGCAGTTATTCATATTGATATTTATTATAATAGGGGTCTAACGATCAATAAAACTTTGTTTTCCTTACATTCTTCTAGTACTATCTAAGATAGAATAGTTTCTATACTTCGATTTATGCAAATTTTACTCTAAAAATATCTTCAAAATATCCTTTATCCGATTGTTTGCGCTAAATTGGTGTTCTTTCCTCCATTTATTCATCTATGTAACCAAGAATAGGATATATTACAATTGTCTATCAGAACATATTAATATTACGTAAAGTTAGATCGCCTCTAGTGGTATTAAAGCCATCGTATTAGGCGAATACAATTCAGAAAGTGAAAAATTGATACCCCTATTATCACAAGTCCACTAGCCATTTTTCGACCATCAATTTGTCACTATTTCTCCGTAAGAAATTCCATACATCCAACCCAATATGGCTCTATCATCGATCGATATAGCACAGTGCAGGAATAAAGGTGAACATAAACAATTATGCAAGAAATTAAGTGATATTGAAAAGCAAGAGCATTTAAAATCTCGACAATTACTCAAGGATCATCAAGATTTGAAGTTCCAATTGATGAGGATGAAATCAAGCAGCTCCATCAGTAGAAGTGCAAGTGCAAATAATGTTCGCTTACCAAAATTACCTCATACATCAAGTAATGGCCAAATTAATTTAAGTAGTAAGGCAACACCAACATCATCCCCTCAACATAGTCCTATGCTTCGTAGGAAGAATATAATTGGCCAAGTCAATGAAGCTAGGAGGCCGGATGCTCCAGCTCCTAATCCAATGAGTCCGTCAGTAAGAAGACGTGTATTCTTATCCGAACAAAACCGGGCCAGCTCAGAAAGTGATTTATTCAACATGAAAAGGAAAAAAGATCCAGGATTGATTAGTATGAAAGAGTTAGCTATGAAATTGAATAAATCTTATAGCAAAGATAGTCGGTTATTAGATACGGATAAAGCCTATGAACAGTTAATAACTGATTTAGACAGATTACGAAACGATGATCGAGATGAAAAGTCAAAAGATTTGAATACGAGAGGATCAGCCTCAACGCTTTACAGCACGGATGACGATGATAATTCTTCCTATGGAGAAGGATTGAATGAGGTATTAGATCAACCGCGCAAGTTAGGTCCTCTGGCTAAAACTTACGTTAATTCGCCTATACTGCAAAGGAAACTGCACCTAGTAGCAGATTGCAAAACCTCATTAAATTCAGATGTTAGGTCAAGTTGAACAATTAAGGTTATTATATGAATGATTCGTTCGATAAAAACTTGTATTGTAGGTTAGGATAATGTTATCAATTGGGTGGGTATTAACAAATCAATATGATCAAATTTGGATAATTGGGTAACTTCATAGATAGCTGACTTTCTAATAATCATATCTCTCGACTAATTTAGTATGTATGAAAGGCTACTTGTCAATACGACAGATTTTCATTATCGTCATATCACAGTCTAATGGTTGCAATTGTTACCACAAAGTGTAATGTATACTATTCATACCGCTATTTGTAAACTAGGTGTCTACCCTTTAGTAGAGTAAAATTAATCACTAATCATTAAATCATTATCATGATTTCATTACTTGAAGCAACATTTGTTTATAAAATGTTCCTATAATATTAGTAACTGCTGAAATTTTAATTAAAGAAACCTTTCACATTGTTATTGAAAGTTGCGTGACACATTTTTGCAGAATAGAATTAACAACCAATCATTCATTCATTGATTAACCTAGTAACTAGTATATTTATTGGTTGATTATTCATCATTATAAGTAGGAAAATTATGAAGATTATTGTCGATATTCACTGCCTCTCTTGAAGATTGGCATAGCATCTTAAATTTATTTTCATTTTTCTTCTCACATACCTTATTACAAATTTATTATCAATGGCAAACACTACGATTATAACTAAATAATGTAATATTTGTACCTGTAGGTAATTTTAGAGTCCATTCTTTCCTTCAATATTAATTAACCTGTTATGATGTCATCATTTTCATATAAAAAATAGTGTAATACAGTATATTATCTTAAATAATCTGGATAAAAATAATATTATTTCGCTAAAGTTAGATAGCTGTTGTATCATCATCATTTAAGGTATCATTAAAGTCACGTAAGGATATTACGATATCCTGTATACTTTCTCAATGTCAGAATAAAAAAATTTTCAAAATTCTCGCCGTGTAGCATCAATCGTAACTGGACTAGTGGGAACTTCCTTAAAAGTAAAAAATAGTTGTAATGTAAATTATCCGTAGTTATGAAGCGTTATTAATAAGATAATCCCGAAATCCTTCCATATCAAGAGCTACTACCGTATTAACATTTACCCTGTTTCGCTTCAAATGTCTTCTTAAAGTACTCGTATAGTTATGGACTATCATGCTTGAAATCCTTTCTAAACGCTACTAAATATTCTTAGCTGCCACAATGGCTGCATATCGATACTTTAATGAACTTATAAATTAAAATTAAAAATATTGGCTTTGATACAGTAACTTATTACATATATATAAAGAGAGATATAGACAGTGATTAGCAATCTATAAAAATTAAAATAGAACTATAGCATAACACGCCACTTTTTATCTGAATGGCACAATTTTTAATAGTAATTGACTAAAGCTGGCTCCTTATTACAAAATTTTGTATCAATATTTCAAATAAATTGATGCAGTAACTTAAATTAAGACATTATTAGAGTTTCTGCTGCTAATCTTATTATCCATCGTCCTATCTTACAGATTGCTACTAGGTTCTATTTTGATGCTAAAATCGTCACAACAAACATCCCATAGAATAGATCAAGTTCAATAATTTACTACAATCTATTATCATATCATATTATCTAACGAAAGCGTTAAGAAAACAAGCACACATAGCTGAAGGGAATTAGCAACCCTTTCTATGACGCATCTACAGAAACTTAATTGAGCATCACTGTATTATGCTCCACTTTGAATAGTGTGTTATGAAATTTCAATGCAGTCAAATTTCAAGTCTAGTTTGCTCTATTTATACTTCCGAATGGTATGAGCATGAACTTAGATAGTCAAATATTATTCCGTCTTGCAACTTTGTTTTCATAAAATAATGGTACCTTTGTCTCTCTCTTTAATCGTCCGTAATGGTTTAAAATGATAATCCAGTCAATTGAGGATTATAAATAATAGGACATTATTGTAATCCTGTTCATTTAGTTATTAATGATAAACAATCAAGCATCCTACGTCAAAATGTAGCTAAGATACTTTCAATAGGGTGTTTCTAGAGAAGGAAATGGTATAAAAATATAATACAAGAGACTTTACGATTCTTTTTAAATGGAGTAAACATTCCTAATATAAAGATTACTAACAAATACTTTTCATTGCCTTAGAGTTGTATAATATTTGACATTTATTTCTGCTGCTGAGACAGTTCTGTGCAATATCTAAAAGTTTAGAAATCAATATACTTCAATAACAGCATATAATAGGGTACAGTCTATGATTCAAAGTTATTAGCGTTGAATATCACAACTGTTTTTCTAATATCGTTTTAGTAATGCTAGCAATACAGAAGTATAGCATAAATGACTTTATGATTATCTTATATAATAGGTAGTAAGCATTCTAACCAGATATCGTTGTGGTATATTTAGTATATTTAGTACTGTACCATCTTTAGTAAGTGTCATGATATTAAAAAGCAAAATTGACTATGCGATTAGTTTATGCTATCTAGGCGTTCCTTGTATGAAGCCAAATAACAAAAAAGTGAGTCAATAAATCAATCGTATTAATAAACGACAATATTTGATACTTTCATAATATCGTTTAAATATTTATGAAACTTGGATAAGCCTGGGACTAAGGATTACTTAAATAACGCGGTAAAATAAATGATTTTACAAGTCAATATTACTATGAAGTTCAGATAAATTTGAAAACATAGGTTACTAGGTAAAAATTGGATAGATATAATAGTTAGTACGAATATAGAAAAATTACCATTTATACCCATATTTAGATGAATCTGGGAAAAGGGGATTACTAAACTAATGCTTATAAAATATACTAACTTAATAGGATAAAATTATTAGTAATCTAATTATACAAATATGCTAATTAAAATTATTAATAGGCAATAAGGCTATATGTAGATGGAATTAATCCCGTTATAAAATTTGTGAATATATATCATTCAATATAAAGGCTTTAGTTATTATTAATACAAAGAGTTTTGTAGATTATATATACAGTGAAAGTCTATATCACAACTTATAAACTCTGCTAATGGTGATACGATATTTTCTCTCTATCAAATGAACGGCATTCTATAGTTGAAACTTGGTAAGATTTTTGATCTTATTTCTTTGGATATCAATATAATACTTATATTTACATTCGTTATTTCAAACAATTAAGAAAGTAATGGAAATTGGTATTTGATAATGATTATTTACAGTCACGATTTTGGATCTAAGTTCGATATAACTTGCTTTACTATTTCACGGTCTGCAAGCATATTCGTACCAGTAAATATGCGGCCAAATCCTGGAATTATAAATCCAGTAAGAACTTGCATAAATGCCTCTACAAAATCTAAGATAGCAAAAGATAGAAAGCTCTTTTGCTAGTATTTTTGTTCTATTACGAACAGTAATGCATAGTTATGGGATTATATTTCATTCCGCTTCGCTAGTTATAACTGTTAATTTACTGCTTTAATAATTTCATACTGCTAATATTAACAACTGCAAAGAGTCTCTATGGTAACAGTTTTCTTGAGTATTGATCTATCATTACTTTAAAGTATAAATGTATTGACTGCAAAATTTAAATAAACCATCAATAATGATACAAGACACGTATGGTATATAGCTTACGTCCCTAACTTAAGAAAAAGCCACTTGCTTTGCTTTTAGAGTCGTCGTCGTACATCTATTAGAATTGAAGCTGTATATTCATGCACAAAAAATTATGCAGTATCTATTATGGAATATCTTTGCTAGAAGGGATTATAGCAAATATATGCTATGGAATTGTAAACTATTTTTAAATTGTCAAGCGGAGTAGAAGTCGTCTCATTCATAATGCTAAAGGTACGACTCTACTTCTATTATACAGTATATTAGCATCATATAGATGATCATATAAAATCTCGTCGGGATACCATTCCTTAATATCTAATTACAATAATTAAAAAATATCTTTAAATAAATAAGTTACTTAAGACGGCTATAAGATGACGAAGCGAAGAGAAGTAATTGAGTAATTTAACAAATTTGTCGCACTTATTTTATTTTCAATAAAAATGTTAATGTAGTTAATGGTAATTCTGTATCTAATATCTTATCTAGAGCTTAGTTTCGTCAAGTGATTTATAAAAATATTTGATAAATATAATCTGAAAGAAAATACTATCCATATTACTAACAATCTGCGTCAACACATATACATAATTCCCTGGTTACCGTTATTTGCTATATAATTGTCAATCAGCGGCAATGAGCAAAATATTTATTAACAGAAAGCAATAATCTACTACGTTGATATAGCGTAAAAATTATTCCTCGTATTTTAATCAAATTTGTAGATAGTGAAGAAAGGGCATTTTGATGATTAGTCTCCTCATATTGTCTGATAGAACTCAACAATTGTAGTAACTTGGGTACTTAATACAATATACTGTACTAATACCTATCTCCCTATCTAAAATTTTTTTCTACTGCATCTTGTTAGAAAATTTCTGTATACAATATACCTAAGCGCCATACTCTAAGTGGACTTAGATATTGCGATATAAAGAGAACAGTTAACTATTTTATAGACATATACACTCATATAAATTGCTTTATTGCCACATTAGCTTCGCAAAATAGAAGAAAAATATCACAAAATTGATAAATGAAGCTTCTCTGACAATGTAATTATTGGTCAAATCAGAATGCTGATTAATTGACCTGAAGAAGTATGATGGTACGCAATATGGGTACCTATTTAACTCCAAGCTTGAAATGGCTTTCGAATATAAATACGATCTATTTCACATATTTAGTAGAATGTAAGTTCTTTAGCCTACTCAATATTGAAATTGTTTTAATTACCATATCGCACTGACTAATTAATTTATAATTATTCAGTGCTTTATTAATCGTCAACTTAGAGATTTTGAAGAAATTTAGTTCATATTCATGTATATTTCGTAGAAGAATGTGCTACTGATGACAGGACAACATTAGAATAAATCTAATTATTCTACAAAATTTATAAGATATTTCTTTCCACTTAATACCCTGGTAGACCTCATAGGAATAAATGGAGATAATTGACGTCAATGAAGCAGCGTAAAGCCATTTAAACACTATAGGGGGTCCGTTGATGATATTACTTGATAGTATTGATATCCTGTCAACAATTTTTTATGACATTACTGATTGTTGTTGATTGTAGGTTAACTATTGTATGTATATTATTGAACTATGGAGTACAGTATATAACAGAACCTTGTTTGTAGATTTTGTATGGATGCTACTATAATGAATAATTTATTGTTGATTACTTTGTAAAAGCTTACCAAGAAAATAATTAATGCTTCTAATCTTAATAAATTGACATTTATTGCAGGTTATTTGTTACCCTTATGTAATAATGTATCGTACTAACGAAAAAATTGTGAAATTATTCGTATACGATATATTCTAAGCAAAAAATAAATTCTTTATCTTAATTGATCGCGCATCATCTAGATTTGAGCCTTGCTGCTATCAAGTATGGCAAACTTCCTTTTATAATTCTAGAGTCGAATAGACTTTTAATTTTATAAAGATTTTACTATCATAATTGTTTCATTCTATTTCGAATAAGAGAATAGAATTTAAAGGTTCAAACTCATTCCATTAATAATCAATGTACGCTGTTCTTTATATAGTAGTTATAAAACTAAGTAAACTATAGGATGAAATTCTTCGTTATCGAGATCTGCAACATTCGGGGATTAAATCCGAGAAAATCGAGTAATTACACACAGAATCTGCCATATAGAGGATTACAGTTGAAAATCTTTCATTCATCCATTTCTAGAGCTTGGTCATGACAACAAAGGCGTATACAAAGTTATTTGTCATGATATAACAATACCAAAGTATTAACTTAGCTATCCATATTATGCTGATGGCTACCAGCGATGGATATTTAATGAAAGATATCTCTTCATTGATTGAAAGTTTCGACAAAAATAAGCCAGATTATAACTAATTCTAGAATAGCTAGTTATCCTCCTCTTCCTAATTGTACAGTATACGTGTACTATAAACTTTAGCCAAATATTCAAAGCTATACTTTTTTTTCTTCCATCCTGTACATTAATATCAGTTACTCTATACTATTATAAAATGCAGTAAAGGGTTGTCCAATAAAGGAATATATTCTGAGAAGCTTTGATATTATTAATAATTTAAAGTTCATTTAAAACCGAATGTTTATTAAAAGGAACGAATTAAAGTCTATTATGACCCCAGGATGTAAATAACTGTCATTCCATTCGTACTTGAAGTGGATCCGATCAGTATGACTATCTAGCCAATTCTTATCTTTGTTTATGAAGTAATCATTAAGAGGCCATACTGAGTTTTTAAGAATAGGAATAAGAATAATAAAAGTTACAAGGTTGTATTGTCTCCTTAAGAATTAATTGTTATTAATGAGCTAAGGGTGGCAAATAATTTACGTAAAAAATAAAATAAAGATAAAGAACGCACCAATTATGTCAATCTTGAGCTTAATTCAATAGCCTATATATTAAAGGCCGTGATTTGATTATTTCAGGAATGTCATAGAGTTCCATAGTTGCGTACTATTGATTTTAACATTAAGTTGACCTACGTTACTAAGTTACGAGGTCAACTAGGTGGATTTAGTTTAGTTTATAGGTAGTGTAAGAAGTATGAGTAGACGTTAGCAAGGTACTTTATCGTACATCATTGTCAATTGATATCGTCTATATTGGATATGATATCATTACTGGCTATTATGAATGAATTAACGAGATCTAGTATCTAGCTATAGTCAATAAGTATAGCTAGTTTAGGACATGATTTAGTCGTTAGCCAGTCTGAAAATATATAGTAATAATCTTATTATAGCCATAATTCACTGTAGTCGTATATACAGTATGTTACATTATATCGAACGTAGGTATTGTGATGTTCATTCATGACTAAAAATTATATTACACTGTACAGAGTAACAGAACAAATTATCACCAATTATGGGGAGTTTCATCGGCTTCGATCTTAGAATAATACTGTACGAGCTAGGAGAAATAACTCACCTACAACTATCCCATACTACACTATAACCTACAGAGTATTCTAAGAACCGCTAAGGAGCTGTTTAGATGGAAGCTAGGTTCTCCAACTATAGAACGAGAGACTGTAATATGTGCGTAAAACATATACAATTTATATGCGCACGTTAGTCATATATAGAAGCCTACCTACCTTCAACCACTTGTTGCTTGTTACTGTCGTTTCTAGTGACAACTACGTATACAATTTCCTCATATTTACTATTAAATTATTTCATTATTTTAAATAAAAATCAGCAAGAGACTTACTTCAAGCATAGTAATCAAGTTCATTAAAGCCCGTTGCTTTATCGTCTATGAAATGTAAGTATTAGACGTATTTTTGTCTGTAACACATTACTACACATATTGATTTGAATAAAGTTAACCATTTTTTTAACGGTATAATTCCATGACTACTTTGCTATTCCTTATCGCTACAAAGAATATCTTCAAGTGCAACTTAATTTCTACGAATATTGAAGTTGTACGTATCCTCAGTTACTGTAGTATTTCTGGTAACAAAATAGATATATGAATATTTGCTAACGCTAGTGTAGAAAAATTCATATATAGGAGGCGTATCTTACCAACTTTGACTATATTGACATTATTAAGTAAATGTTGTACGGCAACTTCTGACGACATTAGTAGTCGCTTTTTATAATTAAGAACCTACAAATATCCATTAGGTGATCGACGATAAATTTATATCCGTTCTATGTAAGTGTACGATGTTTTTGCAATCGTCGATTTTATCCTTTCTTGATTTTACACTTCTGAAAAATTTAATCGATAGGGAAGCCATCGTAGCTTATTAAAGTTTGATTGATAAGGTTTTATTATACTGTTACATCCATATTATAATTTAACGATCTGTATGAAATTACTTCACAAGTTCTATCCGTTAGAGATAGGATTCTTATTCACTTCAAGTTATTGTCTTTAGAAAGACTCTAAAATTATTATATGTTAGAATTAAAAAGTTAAAGCGTAATAATACTGACGAAATAATCCTGCGCTAATTTGATTGTCTCAAGCTGTAGCGATTAGCCGACTGGCGCTTTTAAATCTGACACTTTAGAGAAAATTTTTTTACTTTCCGCTATTTTTACTGTATAAATATAATTTTCATTTTCTCATATAATTCTTCTGTAATGTAGCGAACGGTATACTAAAATGAATCGTACTATAATTTGCTTACCCAAATTAAATTATATGGTACCGTACCTACTTATGAAGTCTATAATAAGTTTGTGTTAGATAGAAAACCTATGCAAAATTTTCTACGATATATAATTAATTCTGAATAAGTGATTTTACTATAATATTAAGTCAAATTTTATAATTTCTTACCGTTATATATACTATATGATACCGCGTATTAATCTTAATCTACAATTGCGTCAGATATAATCATCGGTATTCTATAATTAATTTTTTTAAAATTGTTAGTTGCTAAAATAAAATTCATACTACCAATCGAAATTTTTTGTCTTATATCTACGACTTGACATAGAATTGTTTGTTATATAGGGTTAAAGCACTTAATGTTAATTACTGAAAGTAAAACACTAGATCGCAGCTTCTAGCTCGGTTATTATACAGTTAAATCATTTTATGACGGTTCTTAGAGTCTTGTTTCTCCTAATTTAAGTCTATATGTCACAGAGACTACTTGATAGTGCGTAGAAGGCTGAGAATGATTGCAGTATCAAGTGTAGTGATCCTTAAAAAATAATTTTTAGGATCAAATCACGATATTGATGCTAAGATAGCCCTTATAATGAATTTCTTTTTCCTTTATATCACGTAGAACTGGCATTTTAAAATACATAAGCTTCTTGTCAGACTAGAACAGTCATTTTGGCGCCAGAGATAGAACCAAAAAGCAATTAAATTAATACGAAATAGATATTTGAACTGATAGGAAAACTTTAAAAGCAATATGGGAGGCCAACAAACTAAACCTAATCTAATGAAGAATGATGCTGTAAGCACGCTATATGAAGAACGATTCACCATCGAACGAGATTTAGCCAAATATGATTTAAGTCAATGCTTCGAAAATTTAGTATTCGAAGGTGGTGGTACCAAAGGAACAGCCCATGTTGGTGCATTAATGGTAAATTAATACTTGATTAAAGAATCAGTAACTGAGTATTCTTAAATCACACTATACACGTAGATAAATATCGTATTTCTTACGCTATCAAATAGATAAAAAAACACCCTTATCTAATTGTATCTAATCATTATATGGTATTAAGTTAGTCGTAATGATTACATGATTATTATGAAAACTAATCTTTTACCTATTAGCAGTAGTATTAAATTAGTAACGACTAGTATAACAATATGTACTTTCATTATGACTGTTATTGTACGCTAATATCAGCCAGCGCTTGGAATATAGATTAGGTTTCTAAGGCTATTAGTAACTGTACCATTGAGGATATTTACTATGTTAATCTCTGGACAGGCTAATTATCGTCTTAGTAGTTATATGAGTGATAGCATATAATTGAGCGTTTAATAGCATTACATAATTTAAGGTAATCTTTGCTAAGACAAAATTACTGTTAAAGTAATAGCAAGAAGGATGTTGATATTTCTAGCTTTTGCAATGGAATATTTAATTTCGAGAGGTAGTAGGATTCAGTTATATTACTGTATATTAGCCAGTTACCAGTAGTCATACAAGTTTAGCTATTACTGTATTAGTAGAAACAAAGTAAATACGTTTATACGGCGTCTAATATAGGAATACAGAATACTAGTTTAGAAAGAGCGATCTGTATTACAACAAATTGATTTATATTAAATATTTTTCTTAATTCTTAAATTTCTGTATTTTAGCGAAAATTTAAAAAATTCTTATTCACAGCATTAAATAATCTCTTTATATACTTTAAGAAGACTAAGTCAAAATCAAGTAACATAATATTTCGAACCTACATCTTACTAGATTGCAAGTCTATCATTAAAAAATTTTATTTTCTAATGAACTAATAGGTCTTAGAAGATCTTGGAATCCTCGACAACATGACTCGCTTTGGTGGCTCTAGTGCTGGTGCTATGTTAGCTGCTTTACTGGCTATTGGTTACTCAGCTGATGAGATTTTAACGTTTCTTTACAGTGATACTAAGAAAATTATAATGGGTAAGTTGGTTATAGTGATGCTGTATAATATTATTAAAATATAGCGATATTAGGCTTGCTATGGCTACAATACATCGTTTATATGAACTATAGAGATGATCAGTGTTGCCGCTTGAATAACAACGACATTTAATTTTATCAATAGTGAATAATAATTCTCATAGTCACAAAGTTATCATTGCGTAAAATATAAATACTAATATAAAAATATTTTTCAATTTTAAAATACGGTAAAGATTCGAAATGCGGCTACTTAAGCTTGCTACCAAGTTTATTCCGTCACTATGGTTGGATTCCTGGACGTCGCTTAGAAATATGGTTTAAAATGGTTCTTGCATCCGGTCCACGAAACACCTTATGCCCCAAAACTAAAGACAAGGGGGCTATTACATTTATGGAGGTAATCAATAAATTACATAAAATAATTTAAAAATAGATTAATTAGAAGCTAGCTATCGAATTTTGCTACTATTGTGTCAAAATTACTGAAAGTCTGCGTTTAATGCCGTGAATATCATCAAGTATGTGATATGATATGATTAATACAGTACATACCGTAGGGTGTTACATTACGTATGCTGTACACGCGTACAAAGTAATAGCGATAGGACAGCTAATCAAATTCACATCAGCATTATATGGACTAAATAGACTAGTAAATACTGCAATATTCTTTCTAGTCAGTTTATATTGTCATAGGCAAGATTTCTGCCTCTGCTTGCTATTGAAGTCTTGATTAGATTGTAAAATATATTCCTTTGAGAATGAGATTTTGACAGAATTATATAAAAATGCATCTGGTTAATACCGAAATGCGATTCACTACATTACTTATAATGAAACATTTGTATATAAAACAAAAGCTTAGTCCTTAACTGTTCTAATGCATTTACTCTTAATTTTAAGATATATTATGCATTGGATATTAATTATTTTATTTCTATGTATTCAGCTATATAAGGCCACTGGAATTGAACTGTGTATAACTGCAACAAACGTTAATTACTTGACGGTGGATTATTTTCATCCCAAAACGACGCCTGATACGCCAATTTATAAGGCTGTTAGGATGTCAATGGCCTTACCAGGTCATTAAAAGATATATATCAATATTATATACGATAAAAGTTTACAGTAGTGGACTTCTACTAATAAAACTATAGCACACCAGCCATTGTATGCACTGCCATATTTATTTAGCTTTCTATTGCTTTTATGATGCAATAGGATTTTATCGCAGTGTTAAAGTGGAGAGAAGTATTTATTTGGGGCCAGATCATATAGAAAAAGCCAATGACTTATTCGTAGATGGTGGTCTAATATGCAACTATCCGATTTATGTGTTTGATGGTGCGCACCTACAGTATATAACAAAATATCTAAATATCTCATTTTTTATTTTAGAAGCATTACGACAGTTTTATAAGTTATTCGATAAGATACTTTGTGCAGTATCGAGCGTGGTAGCATCAGTCAGAATAATATCTAGGTATAATATTTGAATGATAAATACTTTCTATCCATTTAATCTAGGCTGGTGGCTTTCCTTAACACCAGAAAATCAATTTCTTCGACGAATGCGACCATTATCTCAGCTACATAAATTTTATGATTTCAAAGAACGATTTGGGACAGTAAATAAAAAAACTTTAGGCATTATGCTTGTAAGTTGAACACAGAATCACAATAAAGTTAATTACGCAGTAGATGGGTATATAGATCGCAAAATTACTTATCAAAACAGTATCTAGCCATACTGTACCTATATTAAACCATTGGCGATTATAATTTAGGACTACGTGTATTCTATGTTATTAATACCAAAATTTTAACTGTTCTAGTACTCAGCGGGAGAAACTGAAGCGGTCAAAGAAGCATTAGATACACGCGAAAATAGTGGACCTGCACAAAGGCCAAATACAAAATTAGCTAGGTACTATGCATGACCAATCGGAGTTTAATTAAAGTTATAATTGTAAGCGGATTTGTTATTTGTTAATAATTACGGGTATCATTATTTAGAGTGAGGACTGAAGCAATGATAAAAAAGCGCAGAGCTACAGAAATTTATGATCAAGTTCTTAAGCTCATGGATCGATTTTTACAGGTATTAGATTGTTATATTTTTAAGCAATTTTGAAAAGATAACCTAAAGTAGAAAAGATCTTAGCCGATTGCTAAATGAGAATTGCTACCTGAAACTTAATACAAATCATTACGGATAAACTTATCAATCCTATTCCTCTCTCTTAGTGTTTAGATGCAATCCAGCCGATGATTTTAGATGTTCAGTATGATGTAAAGACGGTCAAAGATATTTTATCTACGGTAAGCAACAACCGTTTTATTACTAGAAACAGTTCTACTTTACCGTGTAATTACACTATTAAAGTATCTGGGTCATTTCTTGGTACGATTCTAATGATATTAAAGAAGAAATTATCTTTTGCGTTCTGGTAGTTTTTTTTACACGACGTGATTAAGCGCCTGAATAATTTTTATTGCAATAATCTTATTAAAGGAATAATCATTTCTCGTATTCTTATAACATTTTTGACGCTTATAAATGAAAGGCATACTAAATTATATTAATAATGCTTCATTTTTATGTGTATATAGAAATTTAGCTGTGATGAATTATCCTTTATGTTTCCTGGTCATAAAGGTGATTTGGATAAGATCATTGCTGAATTAGATGAAAACAGTGATGGAAAGGTGGAAGTTCTTTGATTTCATCGCTAGTAATATAACTACAGCATATTACTGTCCTAGGCAAAATATTAATATTTCAATCGTTTATATATAATTTTGCAGCTAAGCTTGCCTGAAGTGATTTCTTTCATTGAACATCATGGAATTGATTTACAAAAAGGGTTTTTAGGCTACGGCCGACGTGATATCGAAAATTTAGGTGATTTTATCCATTCTTTACAGGTAAATTCGCAGAACCACTAAGTTAGATATTCCTAATTTTTACAAAGTTCATGATTACTGTATAGAATAAGTATTATACAATATTTATACAGGTCGTAATTATTACTGAAATACGATCAAGTCCGATATAGCATCGTTTCGTTTACAATTTGTGTAGCTAATTAAATATTTTTCTGTTTTTCTTTTATAGCAAACTCTATCTGTGAACATCAAGAAAATGACAGTAAAGGTAATCACGATAAGTGTAGCTATTTTATTTAAGTTATAAAGTCAAAGTGAGGAATGCGATAAGACTAGGATAGATTATTATAACGTAAATATTATTATTTATATCATAAAAATTGAGGTTATAGTATAACTCCTTCTAATTCAAGTAATAAATAAAGAAATTGTACTACTGAACAAAAAAATAAAGGCTGCATATCTTAGTAACTGAATGCTTAAGTAATAACTGTTAATTTCAATTATAGCCTGAAGATGTTGAAAGAACTATTGGCATAAATACTGACTATATTGAAACCACTGATTGGAAAATGGAATTCGAAGATAAACGATTTTTAATCAATGTAAGTACGAGTTAGCGTATATAAAACTATCTTACAGTACATATGTGCTATGCATATGTCGTTACTTGTTATCCTCGCGTCGCTTCGATGCTAGGATACAATCCTTCTTTAATTTTAAATAAATAGAGTTAAGAAAAGTAATATTGCACTTCGATATCAAGTTTCGGCATACAATCTTTTCACCATGCACTAATTATCATATTTCGTTACTATCAAGTGTGGTGTCAATGGTGCCTTGTCATTCCTTTTAGAGTTTATCGATAAGAATAAGGACCATCTACCTTTGAAGAAAGATGTCTATCGATCGCAAAGACAACAAATAGTTGATGAAACACAACAACCTAATCAAGTGTGTACAAAATGAAACCCTCAAGTAGTTTAAATTTGCAACCGAGTAAAAAGTGTTCATGCACCAGCTCTTAAAGTCTATATTAAGTAAAGGCAGCAATAGAGTATTATCATTATCTTGGATTGTTATATAGTATTTACTAGCATTACGCACACTTTATATCAATGCACCATATGTTCATTTGCAATGTAAAATAGTCTCGGCATTAATATAGAGACCACTAGTTATAGTAAATGTCAAGCACTATTATTTTGATTCGCAATGATTAAATTTATTTAAAATTAATATCTACGAAATAGCCGCTGTGTTAAATCAGTATCTTTACTTTTTATTTAACAAATAGAAAGTAGACGCGATAGTAAATACCGACAAGGCTTTACTAGATAAGTACTAGAATATTCAGTTTAGGAATTATTGACATATCAAGCTAATACAAGTGCATATATGCTAATAATTAATTGATTAATAGTAATTGATTAAAATACGGACGAAAGGAAAAAGACAATTAGAGGGTCATTACAGTTTTGCATGGTTTACAACAAATACGAGACAGAAATAAATTAAATCTACATTTGGTATGTATGAGAATTAGTCATTTGTCTATTAATAGGTGAAATTTCGTATCACGAATCATAAAAGAACTTCTACCTGTACATACTAGTATTACATATACATTTCGTAACATAGCATAAGTTGCGTAATTACTCATGCAACTCAAATATAGTTTCACATTGAAATGCAGTATACAGCCATGAATATACATATAACACTCAATTAATCTGAACGGAAAGCAAAACAGAATTGAGGAATAGCACAATCATGATGATACCATACGCTAAAATTATACGTATTATGATACAAGGCTTTCCCTATGTAACAAGAAGACAATTGTAGCTACATATTTATATTACCCGGCTTAGTGTTGCATTGGTTCAGGAGATGCCTCTTTACGTTCAGTTTGGTCAAGTTGTGTCTTTCCATCATTATTCTTAACTTCAACAGTATCTTTGTTGGTACTACAAATTATACGCAAAATTATTAGAGTTCTATAGTAACGAGATATTATAAAATTTTGTATGAGTTAGGAAACTGTGAAAATATTAGTACCTGTTTTCCTCTGGTACTTGAGACTTTATCTCAGATTCCTCAATCTTAACTTCTGACAAATCTGCAGCTTTAGCAGAAGATTCTTCCTTATTACCACCTTCATTATTTGATATCTCCTGCTCCTTAACTTTTTGAGCGTCCCTATTAAATTGATGACATTGTGAAGAATTTATTGAGAAAGCTCCTCAGATTGCATTGATGAAGTGAAATCTAGACTATCATTAACATCCTTACTCAATCTCCATTTGTTGGGATGAGTTGTCATGAGCGGCAGGTTCACGAGCCGTTGATTCTTTATCCATAGGCTGCACGTCTCTCTGACCTTGTAGTGTTTCAGTTGTAGCTGAGACTTGAGTGTTCTCTTCAATTTTTGGTACAGGAGGTTTTGCAACTGTTGTTCGAATAATTATACAACTTGAATATTTTACATTTCTACTAATCAACTACGGTATACGAAAATTAGATCATTAGTGAGACTGAAAAGTATAACTGCATCTACCTTCTCCAACAGGTTTTGAACCGTTCATTTTAGCTACTTCATTTTCGCTAAATGTTTTTATGCGTTTTTGTAAATGTCGATGGTATTCCTGACGATTACGACGGCCACCTTCATTTTCATCTTCCGAATCGGAATATTCCTCATCGCAAGCAATGCGCTTATCTTTATCATGCACTAGTTTTTATACAAAAAATTTCCGTTTCGTTGACATTATTACAATGGATACTGTAAACAGGTTATAATTCAGAAGTTCCGATTCGTACAAAATTTTACAACTAACTTGATATTCGAGTATCAGGGTCATTTTCTTCTTCATCAGATTCATATTGCACATCAGAAGGAATGGCTGTGGACAAAAAATTGAAAACATACATAAATTTTAAGTTTTGACTGTTTAATTGAGTTATGATCACTCTATGTTTAGAAGAATAAAATAGTTACGTTGCATTTGAACACCAGGAGCATGCGGCAACATTCTAAGATTCTCAAATAGGCGCGTCCTGAAAAGTAGGCCAACGTTACGATAGATAAACTTTCATTGGGCATTTTATTAAGCAAACTTACTTAATCCGATCAATATAATCTGGTGTATTTTGATTTGTCATGTTGGTTGGACTGATGTTGAGTTTAAAATCAGGCCCAAAGTATTCAAAGTAATCATTATATGGCAGTTCTGAAATGAAATCATAAATGTCGATTACCATCACATATCCCGTATAATGTGGTATCATATTCATTCGTTGACTATACTAACCATTAGGAATTTCAACTCCTAGTGCAGCAGAAGTTTCTTGAGCCCAACATCTTGCAACATTTCTAATTGTGTAACCACCTCCACCAAGTAACACAATTGGAAGATTGAATTTCTTCATAAATTCAACACATGCGGAATGACCTTTTAGGGATAAGTTGAAGCATCCTAAACGATCACCGGCTAAAGAGTCTGCTCCACATTGAAGTACAATGACGCTGGGTTGATACATTTCCATAACTTTCGAAATAACCTAAGTTCGAATTAAAATGATAGTTACAGCAGTGAAGATATTTGACCATATTCGTACTATTGCCAGCTAAATTTATTTTGCGTGAATTGAAAAATAAATCGGACTAGACGTTATCATTGCTTACAGGAGAAAATATTTGATCGTAGCATTCATCATCTACGCCATCACGTAATGGAAAATTTACAGCATAATACTTGCCCTTGCTAGCTCCAATATCCTACAATCAGGTAAAGGAAATAGATGTAAGCAAAAAAAAGGCACCAACATTACACACTAAATGGAATTGAAACATATAAATTTTGACTAAGGCAAGTTACGTATACGAATAACTGTCACAGTGAGACAATTCATTCTCAAATAAGATACTGATCATTTAAGTTAACAAACAACATGTACGTTATTTCTGACTGTAACAAAATGAAAGCCCAAAAGTATATAATCTAGAAATAATATCGCCAATACGCTAGACTTACTCTAATATCTCCTGTCCCGGGAAAATATTCACCGTACTTGTGAAAAGAAACAGTCATTACACGATCAGTTGTGTAAAATGCTTCTTCAACGCCATCGCCATGGTGAATGTCGATATCGATATATAAGACACGTTGATGATATCTATAGTACAAATGAAAATATTCGAGTAATTTTAAAAATAGATTGAAAAGTAATAATAATAATAATAATAATAAAATAATTCAACTTCATATTCTTCAAAAGATACTAAATGTTTAATATAGTAGCTACACATATCGTGGTTTCCCTTACTTTAGCAACTCCAATATAGCTAGCACGATATCATTGACATAACAAAATCCAGATGCTTCAGATTTTTTAGCATGATGCAATCCACCGGCCCAGTTCACGGCAATATCTGTCTGCTGCTTATTGACTTTGACGGCCGCGGCTACCAGGTTGCGAATGCGAACATGATATCAAAATTTGGATATGAACGTTACTCAGTCAGTACTCGCTATTGACCAAATATCATGAAGATGAACATAACCGAACTACTTAATTGAATGACATTTTAGCTAATCCAATCTTACCGATAGATCCACCACCCGATAATTGGCAAAATTCGTAAAGGCCGTCAAACACCGGACAATCTTCACCTACGTTAACTTTTATGTCAAGACATTCACAATGTTTATTAGACTGAATTTACATTGAAGTGATTAAGTAAATACATCATTGTATTCAAAATTCATTAGTTTATAATTAGCTATATACAAGGTACAGAAGGTTACAGTTTTATACAGTGTACTACCTTTAAATAAGATACAAATACGCAAGCAACTTTCGATGATAGCGTCTTCGTATATTATATCAATATGGTATTCATGTATCTTAACTGAGTAAATAAAGCACTTGCTACCAATAGTATACCCGCAATTGCATGAAAAATTCTAGCGGACTTTGGTACCACCGCAGAGTCTCGAATCAGACAAATCTATTTACATACTGGTACAACGTCACAAAGTCCGTCTGTACTGTGGTTGTGTTCGTACGCTACTGGGCTCTTTTTTTCGAGTGTTGCAGTAATTCCTGATCGTGGTCATGGTACTAATGTTACACTCAACTGTACAGACAGTGACTGCTATATCAGATCTGTCGTAGAAAACGACCGGGTTCTCTTTCCAGTACTGTCAGTGGAGTGAATGATTTACAGTATTTCGCACTATACTGTACAGTATATAATACAGCGTCTCTCTCTCTCTCTTTCCAAGGTCTCTAGAGTACACTACAGCACAGTAATGGCTAAAAAGTTTTTCACTTGCGGTAGCTTACAGTACAGTATGAAATCAGTATGCAGATCTATTGCACATAGTCTATGTATATCACCACTTCATTCTTGCCTTTTTAACATAAAATGTAGTTCAGTTTTCTCCAAATAAATATGGATGAAATATACTGTATGTTAATAAATAGCTAAAGAATTCAAAATTTGATTAACATTGACATTTTGCCGTTTATGTATTTAATTTCTGAGTGAAGTTTTGAAAATTTTGTCGCTAGAATCGAGTAGTTGAGACTTTTCTCGACAATTTGATATGTAATTTTGCAATAATATTCTCTATATTCACTTATTTTTATTACTACATGGCTCGCAACGGCAAAATGCAATGAATCACACTCACTGTGGCTTACAGTACAGAATGCAAAGTACTGTACTGTACTTCCACACTGTACACTGTATAGTCCAGTACTGCATCTCATTCAATTTTACGGGTAAATCGACTTCAGCACTGCATTTTATTCACTTTTCTCTTAATTTATTCATAGCCATTTGGGAGCTACGGCCTACGGTAGTCTGAATGTCTGAATAGGCTTACACAGATCAAAGGCATTCTGTAAAATTTCAACTCTATTCAAGACGTATCATATTTATATTCAATACTGTACAATACAAAGACCTAGAAAAATCGTTAATCGTACGCATACGTAAAATTGGATGCCACAAGTGAATCATTCATTGTAGGCGCACGGTACTATTGAGATGACACACTGAATTTTAGTCGTTACAAGATTGGATTGCAAATTCGGATGCAATCCCCAATTACCGTAATCTGCTCTCTACTGCATAGTTGACAAAAATTTTACTAAACAAAAATAGTAGAATGGACAGTACTAAGTGAAAAATGAGCCAGTAATGTTGTAAAAAGTGCTGTACTACTCATGTTCGCCATCGTCTACTTTACTCGTATATCCGAAGGCTATCCCAACTAGATCCTGTACTTAAATGCGTCCTTTATAAGAATTTTCCCATTTTACATGCAACCATAGGATTATAATCACCCATTTACCCCTTTCGATTTAATAATTTATCCCATAATGATGTAGTAGGCAGGAGTAGAATTAAGCAAGTTAAATGTATCAAGATATGATGAGGGCTCTAAATAGATTAATCTCAAGGTACAGGCGTAGTATAAGGTCAATGTACAAATCATCTCCTTATCAGGCGACGCATATTTTATATCGATATCGAAGAAATTGAAATGAAACTTTAAACTTCAATTTTGGTATAACAGGAAAAGCTATCAAAGCAGATAGATTTCGTTTCAGTCATGATCTACAATAACTAAAGCGCAATGGATATCATTTCGCTTGGCCTATTCAGTATATGGAGGGACTTAGCAGAACATATAAGCTATTGATAAATATTTTGGAATTATATTTGCAGAAGTAAAAACAGGGCCCGTCATAGGCAGTAAAAATCCAAGCTGAAAACTGGAAACTATTAATTTTACCAATCGCTTACAGTATCGTTGGCTGATATTAGAAGCAATAATTTATCATCGTTATAGTTAGTCCAAATACTCTTAAAAATTAGTTTAGGATAAACTTACATCGCTGCATCTGCTTGGTGTAATCATTCATGTTGTCCGGTCTGATACTGCGCAAAAACTTGATATAGTCATCAGAATGATATTTCGTCATTTCATCCTGCGTTGCTTTGTGGGGTCTCTGCAAAAAATAGTAATCGGTCAACAAATTTGACTCTGTTATGATAAAAAATACATAAGTAACATAAAAGCAAAATAGTTCTTCATTAAGTAAAGGATTAAATAACTGAAGGCTATTAATACAACACAACTTAAAGGTACAGCAGTTCTGTATCTTTAAAACTATATCTATATAAGTACACAAGAACGTGATAAAGGGTATTGATCTTACGACAGGTACAGTAAGTACATCAGGAGGCGGAGGAAGGAATTTATCGAGAATTTAACTTGTTTCGATCATTAAGTAATTTGTTTTTACTTTATTGATGTAATTGATTAACCACTTGTTTTTTACTATAATTTTATATCTGAGGCAATATATGCGTATATTCAGCAAAATGTGGTAATTTTACTGATAGATAAAATGTGTACTTCTAGTTCTGTATTTGCGGTAAAAGGTTATCTAGAAAGTGTCCTGCAATTTCACGCAGGGATTGATAGCAGTAAAAAGGTAAAGGCAACATTGCTTAAAATAAAATCAAGTTACTAATACTTGATTACAATGTCAGTGTAATAAGGTATATATTTCGATTAAATCGGGCAGCGCATTCTATGTATGTACAAACTGTAACATTCTAAATTCAGCATGCAACAAGAAGTTGGCAACTACCGAGAGTTGGTCGATGCAAAAAAATATATTTGTAAAACTTACAAAAATTTCCATTTTTCTGTACAATCCGTAATTCAAGACCAAGTTATGTGTCATTCGAATACGATGAGGTTTCATTGGATGTCCTTGGCCGTAATAATAATTGCCAATATCGCCTAAATAGCAAAAAATTGAAATTAAATTAATAAGTGTACCCGCACTTTCATAAATTGGACGCCATCAGTAAAAAATCTTTGGAAGAGAGTTTGTAAATCAATGGCGTAAACATACGGTAATGTATCAAAAAAATGGCAAAAAGCTATGCAAGATTCTTCAAAAGTTATTTTAATGATAGTACCGTTATCGTAGATTTGTAGTAAATTTTAAAAATTGAATTATGTCATAAATGTGAAAAAAATTCATATAAATTATTGCAGCGGCAACTCGAATATCTGAATAGGATCGGGTACAGCATTTGTATGAATAACTGCAAAATTTTATCTGTAGCATTTCACTCTCGCATTCATATCTAGCAACGCGATATATTTGAATCAATGGCATGCAAAATTGTAAAAAGCTAGCAAAACCAAGCTGAGATATAGCTACAGTATATACAGGAAGGATAGCAATAAATCTTTATCACTTCTTACCGTCATAATAGTAACAAACTTTTCTCTTGCGTTCCAGGTAAGCCATTTCGTATTTTCCACACGCGCTTTCACAACAAAGGATTGAAGCAAATTTCAAGTCGTGCACTTTCCAGGTACAGCAAATGCACTTCTAAATTGATCATGCGCCAACGTCAAGTTATAAAGTAGCTGGTATCTGCTGGTGATATACTGTACAGTACCGTACGGTACGATACAGAGTAGTGCCGGATTTACAGTACTTTTGACGTGCTTTACAGTGAATAGTACTGTGTTTTACAGTACGTGTACAGTATTACTGGTATCTGCTAGTGGTGTATCCTACCGTACAGTACAGTATACCGTCCAGACTACAGTACAGAGTAGTACTGGATTTACAGTACTTTTTACCTAGTGTGCTCTTTGTCTTAGTGTGAACCTGTAATTTATACAGTACTTGGCACAGGACCGTACAGTACAAAAGGGATCGGTTATTTTCGAAGTACAGTATGTACTGTCAATACAAACGGATCGGTTATTTGTATAGTACTGTACTGTATAGGGTTAGGGTTAGGGTTAGTACAGTACAGTACTGTCAGGGATTTCTCTGTGTTGAAGCCCGTGCGAACGGAACTGTCAGTTTTTGCCGGTACAAATTTTGGAGAGCACTAGACTACGGGATTGTGGGTACACTCTTGTCGAAAATTTTTGTTAGGATTAGCGCATGCCGCGAAATTCCACAGTACAGTACTGTACATTATACTCAATTGCATTACCGGCGTACAATATATACAGTATAATATGCAGTACCGTATCCTATATTTCTTATATTTATTGCATAATAATGATTTATTATTATTATTAGATTATGATTATAATATCGTTCGTGACGCTTCGCGCACTGTCATGTTGTACAGTACTGTAGTTGACTCCGTGTACTGCATTGGGGCCCATACTGTACAGTTGTACTATTTTCTGAATTATAATTAATTCATTACAATTTAAGTTATCGCTGATATGACTGTAGTCTCTGCATAAGATTATAAAACATGTACTGTACACACAAGCAAACTATGAATTGCTGTTATGCTTAGGCTGAATTGAAAGTTTGATGATACTGTACTTCTTTATACGTACATCGTATTTGATTTACACGACGTGATCCAAACAGTATCAATCTAGTCTGTCTATGGCTTTGACGGCAAAATCGCGCTCACAATCGACTTTGGTGCTTGTACGGAACGATATCATTTCTCGCTTATGCAGTAATAATTCTAATTGTAATTTACAGTGAATATACCGATGTATTAATTTCCCCTTGGTGTATATAGTACAGTATTTGGACATTTTGATAGTTTGCAACTTTTCGTTGATTGGAAATACATGGCCATGACAGCTAGCGCTATTGCTGTTCAAGAAGTGCAGCTTTGCCATTGATCCGTTTAAAATTTAGAATCCGTATACGCGTATTTTAATTTCAAGCGAAGTGTTGCCATAGTACATAACAGTATTATTGTTAACTTGGCGCAGAATTATAATTTCAACATCAATGATGCCACTTTGAAGTTGAATTATTTGATAACTCAAAGAATAACTTGTAATAGCTCGATAAGAAGGCTAGCAACTTGAAATAGACGAAAAATTTGCCTATTATTATTATTATAATTAATTAATAATAATTATGGCATAAAATTATAACTTCAACACCAAAGATGCCTTTTTGAAGTTGAATTATTTGATAATTTAAAGAATAAGCTTGTAACAGGTTGATAAGAAGGCTAGCAACTTGAAAGAGACGAAAAATTTGCCTATTATTATTATAATAATTAATTAAGAACAATTATGGCACAAAATTATAACTTCAACACCAAAGATGCCTTTTTGAAGTTGAATTATTTAATAATTCAACTAATAAGCTTGTAACAGCTTGATAAGAAGGCTAGCAACTTGAAATAGACGAAAAATTTGCCTATTATTATAATAATGATGACTACAGTAATGTGTATATCAAAGCATTGCAATGAAAGTAGCCGTAAGCACTTCTTACGAATGACTCAGACTGACGTACTCTTCGTACTCATACTGTAGTCTACGTTGCCTAGAAGGGGACATGGCGTTACGTATAAAACTCGATATTGTACTGTGTAAAACTGCTATGCCGCACTCTACAGTGTACAGTACTTTCTGGGCCACCGTATTACTGTGCTATACAGTGTACTGTACACTCGGCGTACTGGGCCTGCGTACCCATGTGTGCTGCTATCGACTCAGTACGGCCCAGTATTGGACACTGAGCGTGTAGTACTGCCCTGTACTGGCCAACCCGGTGAAGATACTGTATGACTATTTCCATCCATAATCGTGTTGCATCAAGCTGTTGGCTGTTAATATAAATTTCATTTTTTTTCTTAGCTTACTGTACTATTATTATGCACAACGATAATGAAACAGAGAATAAAGTCTATTGGTAATGGCAATATTGCCGTGCATTATCGCTTTCAATTTCAAAGAAGATTAAAATTAAGTATAGAGCAAGTTATACGCAAGGTAAGCAACAATGAATTCTAACCACGACCAACTACAGTATCGCCATGGCTGGAGATGATTGTTGGCTGCACAGTGTACTGCCTTGTACAGTACAACATTATGCTTGAGTCAACCAATCTCCATCGATGTCATACACTGGTGTAAAATATACCCTTTGCAGTAGTGTCAAGAACAAGATCGTCAACCACTGTAACCCGCGAAAAATATTTAAGGCGGTAAAGAATACAACTAACTCAACTAGTTACTATCAAGGACAGGAGAGCATCTTGGTTACTGTACATTAGAATAAAATATCCATAATGTAAGGGATATTTAAATGCTGGATATTTCATCCATTATAGTATGATTTAATGTAGTTCCATCTATACAAATTAACAGTAGACAGTTTGTAATGATTAACTTTCCACCAAAATCACAAGATCGATGGTTCATTCATAACATCATAGTTACAGTGCGTTAGCAAGAGTATAAGTTAAAGTCTATAATTTACAAAAATGATCAAACTGTTGATGATATCCTTGCTAATTCCATCAGGAAATTGCAATATTATGATATAGACAGGTCATCGATATTGCTAGTAAGCATTGCTGACTGTATAAGAATACATCAGTTTTTCCATAGTTGGTAATTAAAAGAGTATCATGACAAGTGTCTTTCTGTAAGAGGTAGAACGCGCTGTGGGCAGTAGAATACGTATGACAATAGTAAAGTTATTTCGATTTTTGCAAGAGATCACAATTATTGACGTACGTTGATATGCTTGAGATGGAGAACTTCTAGTCTTTATTCACTGTAAATGAAGAATACACTATTGCATTTTTAAATAGTACCACCGATCGCAGAGTATCGGAAATCCTGTTATTAGTTAGATCCATGCAGAAGCTTGACTACAATAATGAATTATAATTAATTATTATTATCTGTACTTGCACAGTATGTACTCTACTGTATCTATAGTTCGGCCTCATTGAACTTACATTGACTCTGCACATAGCGTACATTTACAGTATATAAATATCTTTAAATAATTATATAATCAGTTCCAAAGAAATGAAGGACTGAATTTTGTTATAGTTAGGATAGTGTGTGCAAAAGGTAGAGTAGTAGCATTCAAATTGAGCACAAGCTGGTGGACATGTACTGGACGAAAACTTCATTTCAATTACCACTTGTTATGCATCGCGTATTTTATCGCAATTAATTCAATAATAAACTTTCTTATCTTAAAATGCTTAACAATATCTCTTAGTTTATACTAATCTGGCCACTATACCATTTATAGTATGACAAACCATTCGAAAACTCCGACGTTGTTGAATTATCAAATATGACCATTATTAAAAAAGGAGGTACTCATCAGTATACGTTCGTACATAACGTATTTGATTGTAATGCTATAGAAGTAAATACAAGATTAATAAATACTGGTTGCTGGTTGAATTTCATTTCAACTTGATTACTAATGGACCCAATTTGTTCATTATACCCAATGTCAACCCGTTTATAGACACATTGACTAAGCTACCGAAAAGGCTGGATTTCGGATCACTCTTTACCGGAATTAAAACTAAGGGTAAATTTCTGGAAGATGTACTTTAATTTCTCCTTTATGGAATTATAAAAAGACGTAGCATTTCTGGTGACTAATACAATCTGTTAAGATATCAGAATTAAAAAAATTTTCGAAAGTTGGTATTTATGATTCAATACTATCTCTACAATATTGGAATTAATTTTCCATCTTTATATCATTTATTATCATTATTCATAGTTATTTTAATACTAACATGAAGTTTTTATTCAATTAAAAGGTGTGTCTACACATGAATGTCTCCATGAATCAGCAACAAGCAGCGGATATCATACAAGTCTGCAAGCTGAAGAAGATCATTACACAAAAGATAAAGTAGATGTAGCACTAGATAATCAGACTGCGAAATCAACCCTTTTTATTGATGTTTTTACTGCTGAGCAACTACTTAAACGTGTTGTAGATAATTTCTTATGTCAAATGCAACGTAAAGCGGTAAAACTAAATTATAATTTTAATAGCTATGATTATAAACGGCAAAGTCGTGGTTACTTAAAAAAGACATTTTTACGGTTCACAGACGATGATATTAATCATAACGCATTAACTCAATATCAACATTTATCATATACACAAAATACTATGCATAAAAGGCAACAACTTCACCTAAACCAAGCAAGAGCAATTGATTGGCCTCATAAAACTGATGATAACAAAAGTTGTGCTAGAACTATGCCTTTTACGAATTGCAATGTATCATGCGCTAGATGCAGACCATTTAAGTCAAAGGAGAAATTTTTACATTCACATAATGACAGTGCCATAAAATGTTCAGTAAATGATCTTTCACGTAGGAGTATAAAAGACGATGATACTGAAAGCTTAGAACTTGTTGAATTTCTTAATGGCGATGTACACAATATAACTAGTAGACAGGTTGATAATTTAGAAGTTTCTTGTGCCAGAACTCGGCCTTGTCTAATAAGTGCAAATAATAGTTTGCAGCGTTTAGAAAAGCGTAAACTATCTAAGGTAGATGTTATTGAAAATGATTCAGAAACTGTAATTTCATGTGCAAGATGTAGAGATTTTAATTTTTGTAAAATAACAAATCGTTAAATAAAAACATCGTTACCATTGCAAGCATTGTTTGCTTTCTAAACGGAAAGTTGGTTAATATTGTAATGGTGCTTCGTTTGATGAAGACTACTAAACTCGTTTACGGACGTAATTAACTCCAAATTATATCTGGAGTTGCGTATGATACTGTAAAATTGCAAACAAAAGCTGTTTTTATTACCTGTGGTACGGAGGATCGTTCCGTGTATGCTTCTTAGACACTATAAGCTACCTAGAGATTGGAATTGGCTGTATAAGCTACGACTATATTCCTCTTTGTGGATTTGTAGCGGCGCTACAGTAGCGCAATCTCGAATTTGTAATGATACCCGTAATACATCAATCTCTTGACGAAAAGTGACTTAAACAGTAGCGTAGTTAATACATAGTACAGTATGCTTGCCATGGTCCTTTCATAATATATGGGACCGTCTACTGTTAGTGTTTACTGCATAAATTTTATATTCAAATAACCAATAGCCAGGTTATTAATCCTCACGAATACAATATATGCTGTAAAGGAATAGACACCGTATATCTATTAACTTGCAGTTTATATATGGTAGGACTATGACGATGTCGCACTCTGATTTTCATGACGCTGTCTCAGCCGGAGAGTATTCGCAATAATATACTGTACAACTAGCAAAGTAATGGTGCAGTAATAGGATTTAATAAGTCATTAGTTTACAGCTAGATAACTAGCGTATGGATATATTTTCGCACCTACAGTACAGTGTCGACACTTGTGACAGTAATGTAGTACAACTGTATCTTACAAGTGTTACGGCAGTCAATTTTTTCACAATGTATATCCAATTTTACAATTTTATTACTTTATAAAACACTGTTAGGTGTCTAGATGACGGCAGTTCGCAATATTATTAAAATGTTTCAAAATTTACCATCTTTCAAACAGTTTCAAATTGATATCAAATCAACAACGTATTCCAAATAAAATTCGAAGTTTAATTACAGTAATGTTAAGAGAAATTGGTGTATGATTAACAACGTACAATCAAATACATTTAAATAACACATGTTATGATAGTAGCATTATAGGAAATTAATCTTCAATCGATTAAAAATACTGAATAACATCCCTGTGAATCGGCTTATAGTAAGTGAGAACGTTAGTATGACAGTAACTAAGATAAAATTTGCTTTTTTCGCACCATAACAACACTTAATCAGCCTAAGATTATTGATTAAATATCGGTATCTATCCTAACGTATTAATTTTTTAAAACACATCTACTATACTATGCACTATAAGTACCGTAAGATATTGTTGCTGTTTGAGTTTACAGACGTGATTAACGGCTAATATAGCATCATTGCACCATAAAATTGATTGGATATCAGGACTATACAACAATGAATATACTATACCATGCTAGATAATCTGTTTACTTAAGTGGATTATTAACAAATTAATAATAGTCTTATATAATGAACATACATGATCTTTGAGATGTACTTAGAAACACACGTAATAACTTTTTATCGAGCTGATGCAGTCTTGCTTCATGCCATACATAAAAATTAAGGTTATTATCAAATGCCTGTGACAGGATATTAAGAAATGCATCTTGCATGATATTAGTAAAACTTAGCAACTTACAACAAATTCATTTTATAATGACATGATATTCGTGTTCATAATAATTATATAATTCCTCCTTAACGAGAATAAATGTGGTTAAGAATTTTGTTATTATTTTAAAGCGTTTAAAATCAATGATTTTAGTAAAATTATTATTATTTTAATTTTGAAATGAAATTTAGAACAGGCTTGAAGCTTAATCAGTATATTTGAAATTAATTTGCTTAAAAATTGAACAAAAATTACCATTTACATAACTGATAATAGTTTTACTGGATAATAATAATAAGAAGAAGGCAGCATGACTATTTACTTAATCCAATTTATAGATAGCTTCAGCTTAATAAAAATAGCACATCAAACTTAAGGGAGATGTAAAATTTGAGGTTCATTTCTAATAGTTGCAATTACTGCACTTAAATGATTGCAATCTGAATAATAATGCAGTTCCATAGTACCTTATTTTTAGTCAGGTGATCAGGTGTTGCTGTTACCAATACCAAAACTAGTCGGTGACATTTTTACGTTATCGGATACCAAGAGATTCTGTATAATCCGACGTTCCAGTGTGGAAGAAATCTTCTAACTGCCATCGTAAGGTTTCGAAGGTAGGTCTTTCGTCGGCACTCTCTTTCCAACAGTTTGTCATAATATTGTATAATGCATCCGGTGCACCAGGAGGTTTTGGCATACGATAGCCTTTTTCAACTTGTTGTAGTACTTCAGCGTTAGTCTGTCCAGGATAAGGCATTCGTCCGTAGGTAACCAATTCAGTAAGTAATATGCCAAATGACCAAACATCAGATTTAACACTAAAACGATTGTATAATATAGCTTCCGGTGCTGTCCATTTAACAGGTAATTTAGAACTTCCACTCTGGGCTTTGGCATACAAATCATCTCTAGCTAGGCCAAAATCAGCAATTTTGCAATCCATATTTTCACCAACTAAAACATTTTGGGCCCTTAAATCTCGATGAATGTAGTTTTGTGATTCCAAATATGACATTCCATGTGCAATTTGAGCACTCATATCGATTAATGAAGGCAATTTTAATTCACGGCCATCCTTTTGTAAGTAATCTGATAGGCTGCCATGTTTCATTAACTCTGTAACGATATATATTGGCTCTTCCATACTACAGACAGCGTACAATTGCACTAACTTAGGATGACTTAATTTTTTCATTATTGCAGCTTCTTCTAGGAAGGCAGCTTTCGACATCGTGCCTTCTTTCATCGATTTAATAGCAACAGACACACTGTTGTTCCATATGCCTTCCCATACTTCACCAAATGCTCCACGACCCAAAAGACGTATCTTTTTCAATGATTCGCGTGGTATCTCCCATTGGTCAGCATATTGAGATGACAGGTCAGGTATGGATGGTAATTCGTGCTGGAACATAATAAATACGATATTTGAGCGAATGTTATCTTACAAAGGAAGTGAGATTCAGCTAAAGTTTTTACAATTATCAGATAGTCAAGAAAAGACAAGGTAAAGTGTTTGACTATGCAGTAATTGCAACGTCCTCTTAGCGTTAAAGTTATAATTTGAGAGTAATACAATTTGCAAGATCATTTCTTATAATTAATACAATAAATGACTTTTACTTTCTAACTTCAATTTCGATATCGCTATAAAGTACTTTAGGCTATTTAGATATCTTTGTGTAACTTTGATTTTTGGCTTTGCATTTGTATAGTAACTTTCATAAATCTGTTTATGAATTCTCTGTCACTGGATTGAATGAAAGTTCCTACCTTAAAACATGGTTTTCTCAAGTTGGTACATAATCCATCACCATCTCGAGAGTAGTGTTCTACCAATGCTTGAAGATTAGGAAATTCCGCTCTTCTTGTAATAAAGTAACCACCATTATCCAACTTTCGGACACGGTAATGTTTTATAGAATTCTCATTATCACGAACGGATAGTGAAAAATCACCGCGCCGAGTTTCACTTTTTCGAACTAAGTAGGCCCCGGTTTCATTTTCATGAGCAGATAATTTCTTTTCTGCTTCTATTCGCTTAATATTTCCAAAGTACCACCTGTGTTACGTATAATAATGAGAACTAAATTACTAAAAATAAATGACTGAGTAGGACTTTTCATCGATATCAAATAATTATCGACCACTGTATGCACTGATTTCAGTATCACATTACAAGAAAATTGTACGGAGTGCATCATTTAAACGGATCATCTTGTCTGGTTTAATTGAATAAAGCGAGCAAACACTCTATACATACTCGATACTGTTTCCGGTAGTAGATTGTATACATCACCTACGTGTATGTACAATATAAAGTACGCGAATCGCTTATTACAGTGACTATGAAAGTTCTTTCAAATTCAATCTGTATGACTTCCACTGATTAGAAAGAAACTGAATTTTTACGTTGCCAAATGGCAATAAAATATATAATGTACGTGTATATGTCACGTATATATAATTAATGTTTCGATGGATAACATGATGATTGACATCATCAATGATATACATTAGTGAAAACGATAGATGAGTGCATTCTAGGAACAGTAAGTAATCAATCTAGCCAAAAAAGGGTCATTGTATTAATCCAGCATAGTACCACAGCAGGTACTTTTATTTCATTCTTTCATTTATTCATGAATGTGATTGAGCACGAAAATATTTGGCGGCGGCATCATTTACCACACTTGATAGTTAAGTTGCAACGTCTTGTGTCTATTCTGATATACGCTTGCAGCGTATATCAGAATCTGCGGTAACTACACTATCCCATCATGTTGCACTAGTACTGTATATCCTGTATAGCAGTCAAGTAGAATAGGGAGTATTTTATGCGCATGGCTTGTTTATTATGTTCATACTATCGGCAAAGGTGTTTCATTTGGTGACGTTGACAAGGTGCGAACTGAGAAGCTTGCCAACGACGATCCAATAAACGTCCATGGTTGTAGTTTAAGCAGTCTTTTGGCAAGTTGGCACCAATGAAAAATCCTCCACGGACAACGATTGCCCATTAATCATGGGTACATTACACTAGTACTATTCTACAAGTTGATCCATTTGATGCTGATCAACATTGAATGATGCTGTCATGAAGAATTTGTTGTTTATCTATCAACGAAAGGGTAGTTATTACCACACGATACTAATATTTTTGAACTTGTTAAACAAGACGGGGTCGATCTTCTCTCATGTCTCGCCGTGAGTGCTCATTAGCCCTAACTATTGAAAGTAATTTATGCAAACTGGTTGGGGCTAGTGGTCATTCTTTCTTTCTTTCTTTTGACTTAGTCGCCGCACCATGATGATTACCGTCCACTTTGGTAGAGATTGACGGAATACCATAGTAACATGCTAGTGTCCAGTACTCCTCTACAGTACAGTATGATCCTACTGTAAGCACAGTGGTATCTGCAGTACATTCTACTGTACAGCAGGGGATAGGTCGCGCACGCGCTGTCTCCAATGATACAACACTACAATCCGATACTGTCATCTTTCACATCTTACCGCGGCCGCAAGACGTACAGTATAGTGACAGTAAAATACAGAATACGACTGTACCGTCTTTTACGTACTGTACAGTACTACTAGACTGTATACGATCGTTAGACGTAGTGACTCATCTTCTTTAGTACTGTTGATCCAATAAAGAAGCACGTACATTACTGGCAATGATACAACTTAGACTAGTATAACTTACTCTGCAAATTGATCATCAAACTTGATCAATGATTTTAACATTTACCGCTTTTCGTTGGGACTAATTACGAATTGATTTGTGCAAGTCTATCGTTTAAACTGTTGCTATACAAATGGAATCAAAGTAGAGAAAGAGTTATAGACATGGGCTGCAAACTCTAGACGTATATCCCATCACACTCTCATTGGACCAACCTTCAAATTCGATGGTAGTTTTGTCCTTTATAAAAACTAAAGCTATTGTGCTGTTCAGTTTACACAACAAAATTGCCAATAGTGGAGAAAGTAATGCATTCAAAAAGTTGTCTATACTTTCAGTACTAATATCATCTGCAGGTAGTGTACTGTATATTTGAATTCATACTACCCACCATACCCATCGCAGTACATTATAGTGGCAACATACCGCATGTACAACATCAATGTGCAAATACTGGATGTTGTAGAGTAAATCAATGTTGGAAATGGAAGATGCATTCCACTTTAATTTGTGGCCTTTCTAGTGACTGTAGAAGGCGTACAAGAGCTACACGTTTACTCGATCCGCTACATGAACAACTCTGAGAATATGCAATGCTGAAATTATTGATATGAACTAATACTCTATTCCTGGTGTGTTGGTTGAGACAGACACATTCATATGCTTATCATGTATGGTAGGTTTTGGCCGAAATGGGCCATTTAGCCGACAGTACAGTATAGTAGTATGACAATGTTGATAAAACTTACGGTTCGGCTTCTAACGAGCTGATCTCAGCAACATAATTGCAGGGAATATAACCACGTAAGCCGCTACGTCTAGATAGGGCTAACCACCATCGATCACCAGAATTGATAACGTCCGGTTGTACCTCCAACTCGTCCCCAGCTTTGAAGCTCAAGTCTTCTTCTGTACGCGCTTGATAGTCGTATAAGGCAACTACGACAGCGGTATTCTGTGGCGCAGGTTGTTGTTGCTGCTTCGGAGGATCAGCGCGTTGGTTTGCTGGTGGATCACTTACGTTACTTTGCCGACCGTTGGTTGGCGGATTTTGACGCCTATTGGACGGATTGGTTGTACCCGATGAGCCTTTAGTATAATCGTTACTGACTTGAGGGCTCTTGGTATTTTCCACATTTTTGGGTTGTAAATCATCAAACTGAACGTCTTTTTCACTTTTCTTTGCTGAATCTTTACCACAGATGTTTCCCATCTTCTTTTTTTTACTTCTCTTACACGCGAATAAAAGAGAGCGATAGATCCTGGTGTACTTTTGAATTGATTACTAAGATTAAATTATCGTCAATTCGATTGGATGACTACCGAAAAATGGAGAAAGTGGTTGAAGTGAACTTAGTCACTTGGGTGTCGTTGTTTTTTTTTTGATTGATTAACGCTCCACCTAGTACAGTACGTACATGCTGTACACTGTGCAGTACAGTGTACAGTACTGTAGGGCACAGACGTCTACAGTACTGTACTGTACAATACTGAAAAACAGGCGTGACACAGGCAACTTGGCAGCCTGTCTCTTGACATGAAAATATTGTAGTACTGTGTACTGTACTTGTACGTTACCTTATTAGTGAAGATGGTTTGGTTGAAACTTCCTGTAAAAGTCCTGTACTGTCGTGTTTTGCATGGTACAGTAGTGAGAAGTCCAAGCTGCGAATCCGACTGAGTACTGCAGCTTTGATCGGTATTTTACTTGGTTGTAGAGTGTAGACCATGGTAGTCCTACAGTACTGTGATAATACTACTGTAGTTAGCGCCAAGATTACTTGGAAGTAAAGTACAGTATAGCACAGTACTGCTGTAAATGATACCTAGTAAATGATATCAATGACGTACAACACAGTATACTGTACTGACCACTACGTCAGCAACAGTACCATCACTGGGCTTCTCTCTTTACCATTACTATACTGTACAGTGTACAGTATACAGTACACAGTCTACAGTATGCTTCTACTACAGTATAGTACTGTACACTGTACACTGTACAGTACAGTACTGTAGTAGAGACCCTAGAGATACTGACACTAACTCAATTCTAAGTCAGGTCTACAGTACTGTACTGTACAGTACGTATATCGATCCCTCGCTCGTGATGCTTCGCTTACAGTACTGTACACTGTGTACAGTACAGTACAGTATACTGTACGTACAGTGTACAGTACAGTCAGTACAGTACTGCTGCTTCTGAACTAGTTCTGTAATCCATGTCGATCTCTCGCTAGTGATGCTTCGCTTACATTAGAGTACGGCGTCTGGAATTTCGTTAGACATACTTTAACTGGAAAAAATGGAACTAAAACGAACGTACGAATACACTAGTTCTACCGATATCGAGCAATCAATTTCATTTCAATTTTGACTAAAATATCGCATACCAAAATAACATTGCTCTATACACTACAGTGTACACTATTTGTCTCCTTACTTTACATTATGTACAGTAATTAACTGTACAAAAATCATCCAAATTAGCCCGTCCACCCTGTACAGTGTACACTCTACACTACACGCTTGTACTGTCACTCCCAGTCGAACTACATGATTACACTATTCTCAATTCATTGACAACTGGGAAGACAGCATAGAAAATCGGAAAATCTTTTTCAGTTGCGTAAAAAGGATCGACGCTTGACACTTCTAATTGAAATCAGAGACAGTACAGAGGGACGATTCTGATGCTGTATTACCTGAAATTCAAGCCAACAACAGTGATCAATTGACCAAAGATAACGCTTTAGGATTGATGACGATAGTTTAATTGGCATGCTGTATGCACAGACACAGTTCCATTATTTTAGATGCTATATTGTCAGGTATCAATGGCTAAAGAGACGACATACTGGTCGATCGTCTTATGCTTTAGCCGAGAATGTCCACAAATTTTTTGACGGTTTAGCATTGCATATACCGCAATGACGCAAAAGAAAACTGTAATGTGCTATGAAAGGAATGATAATTAAAAGATCTCGTTTTAATACCCATAAATATGAAAGTGTACAGTACTTTTCTCGATCACTTAGCTTTTTTTATCTAGTTAACGCGATTGATTGATAAGCATATCTGAATTGCCAAAGGTTTGGCAAAAATGATACATAACATGAAACTGAAGTATAGTAGTGTAGCAATATACCCATATTTGATGATACAGATAGCTATATTTGATAGAGTTAGGTTACTTTCAATAGATACTGAAATAGGTTATCGTCAAGCTAATATGAGATGATTGCTAACGACTACATTACAAATTGTTGATGACTAATAGTGGCCAGTGGACTAATTATGGTACAAGATTGATGTAGCTAGAAACATTGTAGTTGTTCAGATGGCCTTCGGAGAAAGGGGCTAGACGCTAATAGAAGAGTAGTAACATCTTAAGTAGAATGATTTAGATTGTAGAAAATAATGATGTACCATTAAAGAAAAGAAATTTGTTAGATGACTCATGTCTGATTGTAGATTAATTAAGTTGTCATAAGGAGAAGGGACTTCACTTCGCTTTGAGCTCGGAATACTTTCGATTTTAGACCAGATTCTTGTAGTAATTCATTATTGCTCTACTATTCCTAATAAAACCTCGTAATAAAAGCCTTTTAGAAAATACCATCTGACTAAGATAGTTATTGTGAGACGCATTTATTACAAGTAGTAATACGCGTAAGTAATTAAAATACCTCCTGCGTGACTTAATATTGAAGACATTTATGTGAATTTCTTTAGACATCTTTCAAAGAGTTTAATTCAATCGGCTTACAGAATGCACGCGCTCCCAAACAATCACACGATAGAAGAAAAGATAAGATCTTATTTATATATGTATAATTATTGAATATGTAAGTAACATATATATACATCAATCAGAACCTAATACTTACATATTCAATAATTGACTCCAAGTAAAACATCCTCATTTTAATAATGTCCATTGAATACCCATTTATATTTTATTTCGTCATTACGAAGATCTTAACTTATTAGCAGATAATAAATCTGGTAACAAAACTAATCGCTAATAAATACTCTATAACGATCAGCTAAAAAGGCAGAATCTATTTTTTTGTGATTACGTTTAAGCTTGGCACCCAATTATATTGACGTAACGTCGCAATAGTAAATCCCAGTAATATGTGATAACTTCGTACTTTACCACATCAAATGACCAAACATCAGACTTACTACTAAACTAATCCAATAGTAGTGCTTCAGGTGCTGTCCATTTAATAGGTAATCTGATATTTCTATCTGATCGTGCCACATAAAATTATCACGAACTATACCAAAATCCGCTACTTTACAATCTAGGTTTTCCCCCACTAGTGCATTGCGAGCTGCTAAATCACGATGGATGTAGTTTTAAGATTCTAAATATGCTACACTACATGCAATCTATGCTGCTATATCGATTAACTGAGAGAGACATAATCTATGTCCCCTGTCTCTATCATGCAAATAGCCTAGTATGCTACCATTTTCCATTAATTCTGTTATGATATAAATGGCTTCGCATTTACATATTGCATACAACTGAGTAAACTGGGGATATCTAAGCTCCTTCATAATGGCAGCCTCTTTAGGGAATTCCCTCTTTGACATCATACTTTGTTCCATTGTTTTTACAGCGACACGTATCGTCCCATTCCAAATGCTCCTTGGCCAAGTTTTTCAACTAGCTTAATAGATTTGTGAGAGATTTCCCAAGATTTAAAGTTAGGATTCTCAGGAATAGGAGGTAGAATAAGGATTTTCCTTCTCTGTAAAGTAAATATTGCATGGCATGATCTTATTGCTTTTTATATAACCCTATCAAGTAAGAAATGTTAGCAGTACATTTATCGGTGATATGTGTTACGGATTTATGTTACGTCTTTACTAGCGCGTTCTATTATCTTATTGTATGATTCTTTGCATTTATTCTATTGGTGACTGTACGGTAAGAGTTTGGTTAGGTATCAGATAAGCATAGGTATAAGAGGTTGAAAGAATCAATAAAGGGAGAGATTCACGTGAAAATATAATTGCTAGTCTCGCTCCAGTTATCTCAGAGTTTAGAAGTATTTGCACGCTACGATCTAACAATATGTATGGCAGTATTTTCTTTCTGCAGATAGCTTATGTAGTATTTGGTTGCAATATTTCGTACATAATCGAAGCATGCTCATTTACTGCGATATATTTACCTACCTACCTTCGCGCGTGAAATGATGGATGATTATTAAAGTTTAATAAGATTGATATAATGAAATTGTGCAATAGATTATCAATATTGTCACTGGATAATGTTATAAGATATTATGCAGGAGAATCAACGAAGTATAACGACATAGAGAATTTAATAATTACTGGGAGTTAGTTACCTTAGTTTACGCATATATGAATTATGTAATGGAATATATTAATAAATTATAATTTTGACATCTATCCTATTTATCTTAAGTGTTTCACTTTTAAAATAAACTCACCGACCCACAAGATCGACTTAATGTTGTACATAAACTGCCATATTCAACTGAGTGATGTTTGACCAACTCATGTAGCGACGGAAAGAGTTTGGTACTGCTGATGTAGTATTTTTCATTCGCCTTTTTAATTCTATAATGCCTGACAGAATTTTCAAAGTATACAGCAAGGTTATAGTTTAGCGGTCTTGCTTCACTCAGATGAATAAGAAATGTCCCGTTAACATCTGGTCCTTCAGTTCAATATATTTGACTTGCTCTCGTTTGATACTGCCAAAATACCATCTAGCAATATATTTACGAAAGAAAAGAATCTCAAATTATATCGGATAATATAATCTTACATCAAAATGAAAATTTGCCTATCATCATATATAAAGGTAGATCATTATACACGTATAAGAAATTTCTAGTAGTCCACGAATTAAATCATTTTAGTAATTGAGAAGTAAAGGACAAAATTTTAAATTGGTATTAGTGAATATTAACTTTCAATAAGTGATTTGCCAACCCTTTATTTGTTGATCGCTAAATGACATCTAAATTCCTATTTCATAAACTACGCCGGAAATCTCCTTTTGTACGTAATAACAGAACTTTGTTACTACAATTCCAGTTTATGATTTTTTTATGTACTATACTAGATAGGTGGATTAGTTTAATGTGGGCATTCTAAGTTATATCCCCAAATTTCATACGTTACAAGTAAATAAAATATAATCTAATCTATGGATTAAAAACACGATTCTTTTCTCTTTGTCTATAACTGATTATACCCGTATCGTGATACGTCATACCAGTATATAGTTATCTTCGTAAGTGAACCTTTAATAAAATCATTAATTTGATTGCTTGTTATACGCGTAATATCTTCGACTTTTAATGCAAGCAATCCGCATAATAATGATAATTTAAAAGACGCGTCTTCTCTATTTATCAAAGTCACTAAGCAGACCAATAAAATAAATTGATTTATGGTGTTGATTATGGTATCGCTGCGTATACTTTTTATAAGGATGTTCCACGAGATTGTAACGTATAACCACAAATGATGCTCATAAATAAGAACAAGTATTTATTTTTCACGCAGGAACTACATGAGCGAAATCAGTGCTCTTTCAGACACTGCTGACGCCTTTAGGCTTTGTCCAACTAACTTGTAGTTCATCTAATGATCAGACTGTCAATAGGAATAACTATCACTTGAAATGGTGGAATAAAAAAATAATTTAATTCACTCATGACAAAATTACGGACCTTATTATTGTGTGTACCTCTAACAAAAATGACAATAGCATATCTAAAACCCAAGTTTCTAATAAGAATATATATATATTTATAATTAATCCGCGTTAATTTGCCTTGTTCTTACCTGATTTGTGTTACAGACTTAGATTGAGACATCAATATCAAGTAACGTGGACGGCGAAAACATTAACTTTAATAAAATAGTACGTAATATAATATTGAAAGTAATTTAGTTTAGCATTATTTGTTTGTTTATTTTAAGGCCGATTGACTTTAAGTCACCGATTAAAAGGGTGAATTCTGCTTTTAAATATTAATTTTTCATGTAAATTTAAATAAACTTTGCCGGCACTTGGTGAATCTTAACGTAGGCTTAAGCTTAACGGCCTAGCAAATAAAGTGGTTGACCCTCCCAGCTTTGCTTACTAAATAGCCGTACCCCCTAGTAATAGCCATTATTGCGAAATTACTGTATTTCAGTTAATCGTGTATGTACAATACAGAACAGTGAATAGTTTATGAAATTCATCTCGATTTTACATCACAACATAGAACTGAATGAAGTATAGTTCATAATTTTGGCAAATTTACACCAAGTGCGCATAAGATTTACAGTAAAGAATTTGCAATCGAGAAAATTTCGTCGTAAGAGTAGAATTCTTTACATACAAATGGCACGACATGGGTTGGCCGATGAGTCATTCGACCCGAACGCACAATGCTGCGGTTTTAAGTAATTGTCAGAATATTGCGGAGGATCAAGTCATAGCATCTATATTACAAGATCACCCGTTCGGTATACGCGTTTGAAATTTACGTGGTAGGGTAATTTACTCTTGATTCAGTATATTACACAAATCGATAATCACGATTTTATAATCTGTTCGAGGTAAATTCTATTCCTTTGAAAACGTGGTGAATAAACTGCAGTTTACTGTATACATTCAAAATTAGTAATAATTTCATCTCGCAGCAATCATAACTTTCCAATATTTAACGTTTTGCTTCTTGCAAAAGTAACCAGTACAATTTCAATAACATGAGTAGCAATTTTGCCATGGTAATGTGATTACATATGGTAGGATCTAAGAGCTTTAAAGGTACGGTGATATTATTATACAGATACATATGCATCCATTTGTATCACTTCCTTCTCCATATGTTATCTAAGACCAGGGACTTTTCTCTTAGAAATCCTTGCTAAGATATATAACTATGTGCTATCCTAGCGTCGAGAGATCGGTACCTTTCGAATCCAATATTTGTAGCGAGGAAAGTGACAAAATAAGTATACGCACTGTATTGATCTCAGGTAAACGATCATTGTCGTAATACAGTGTATACCGTAGTTTAGGGGAATTCGCTAGCGAAGTTGCTAAAATTAAATTATAGGTGGTACTTTCTAGGAACTTAATGCTCTGTAGAGTTTTTAAGTTTGGGTTATATTTACGGACATGGAAATTATTCATCAACATCGTATTAGAATACGCCGGGACTGGTGTTGTTTCCGTACGATTCTTTTCCAAGATCTATGCAAATCTTGTACTCTCGTATAGTAAATACAGAGTAGTCATGTAATTTATAATTTCCATCTACATGTTAAAAAGTAAATTACACTTTCTTATAAATCCCCTGAGCGAAAAAGAACTTATTCGTAGTTTATTATTCGGACCATTAAAATTATTATATTCACACAATTTTCTTAGATAGGTTATCACAAATTCTTTTTTGAAACATGATTTGCTTATGTATTATACAGTAGCCTGTTAAGGTACGTTAATCTTTGTTACAGATATGTGAACCTTAAGCTTTAGGATAAGCACATTTTATCAAGAAAGATTCTAGAGAATTATAATTAATTAGTATAAAGTTGGCATTAATAGACTGTCGCAAGTTAAATAGCCAGACAAGGTCAAGAAAGAGTTTCAAGCAGTATCGGTGCTACCTCAGACAGTAGCAAATTAATAATAATAACGTATTAATGGCTATAATGCTATAAACAGAAGCAATATCTTATGTCTTATACTACAACATCTTCTGTAGCCTTCTACGGATATGTAATTTAGGATTTAAAATATCGCATCAACCCAAAATTTTGTTACGGTAAGAGGAATTACATTGGATCTAATGAAACATATTGAAATCTGATGATGAAAGATGTTACATACTAAATGAAAGCAAATGAAATGTCTCATCAGCAGTAAATTGTTACGATTAAATCACTAGAAGAGTATATAGTACACGAATATAGATATCTTTCGAAACCAAAAAACCTATCCTACTGTCGGATTGGTCATTATTACTGAATATTCATAAACCTATGAAAGTAGCTGCTATAATACATCAGAACAAATTGTACATTTTAAAACAAATCAAGTAAGTAACAGTCACAATGAATGATGATTACTTGCATTATCACACATACCCGTACATTCAGAAAGATTCTTAAAGAAACACCTGTTACGCGTTAAAAATAATAAATACAATAACTGTAACAGTTTATCAATGCTATCAAATTAAGCAGGCGAAATGTAGTCAAACAATATTATCAATTAAATGTTGCCCATTTTTGATCAGCAGAAATATTGGACCTAGCTATATCAACATCAATTTCATAATCTTATTAAAACATTTTAGCATAATGGCTACAGTATCGTACAGTAAGGCAAGTTTTATTAAAAATTTTTCAAGTTATACAGTGGAAACTTCTTTAGTACAATAAAAAATTGATTTGAAATCTTACTGGACAGCTTCGAATTTCTTTTAAAGTTACATCAAGAAAAATTAGATACTTTATATCGTCATATAAATTTCTAGATTACTGATCCTCCAAGTAACTATCTTTATCTTCGAAAAAATGCTCTAAACTTGATTGCAATGCCTGAAATGTTAACCGCTGTTCTGGATCTTTTTGCCAGCATTCCAACATTAAATTATAATAATGCTCAGGACAATTGCTAGGACATTCCAACCTGTAACCACACTGTATTTTACTGATTACCTCTTGACCTTTCATACCGATATACGGTTGGCCACCATATGTGATAACTTCGTACATTAGTATACCAAATGACCACACGTCAGACTTGATACTAAATTTACTGTATATTAAGGCTTCAGGAGCCGTCCACTTGATGGGTAGTTTCGTGCTCGCTTCCGGTTTGCTAGCATATAAGTCGTCACGAGCTAAACCAAAGTCGGCTACTTTGCATTCCAAATTTTCTCCTACTAATACATTACGAGCAGCCAAATCACGGTGTATATATTTTTGAGTTTCTAAATATGCCATACCGTACGCAACTTGCGCTGTTATATTGATCAATTGAGGGAGCTGTAGTTTATGTCCTCTATCTTTATCACGCAAATAGTCTAATAAGCTGCCATTTTCCATTAATTCTGTAATGATATAGATAGGTTCGCTTTTACATATTGCATATAATTGAATTAGTTTAGGGTGCCTTAACTTCTTCATAATAGCAGCTTCTTTGAGAAATTCTATTCCTGACATGGTACCCTGTTTCATTGTTTTGACAGCGACGGGTGTTGTATTATTCCAAAGGCCGCGGTATACCTCACCAAATGCTCCTTGACCAAGCTTCTCAATTAATTTAATAGATGTACGCGAAATTTCCCAGTCTTGATCCGTAATATATGATAATCCCTCTGTTGATGGTTGCCCAATCTATAAGAAAGATATGGAAAACATGACGTAAATTTAAAAAGCCCTCTGAAGTGCATCTGATGATATATAATATCTTATTCATTTGGTGATGATTCGAATAAAGCTGCTGTACTAGATATCTGCGAGCTAACACTACAGCAAACAAAAATGCTACTCTTCTACGTTATAGAATAATTTGTATTGTTATTAGAAAGAGTAAAGAAGGTGGTATGACTGTGCATCATGGTACACATGAGAATTCTATATCATATTTAACTTTTTAATCATTTGAATGCGTTTTGCGTGGTTAGTTCATTAATTACTATACTCACTTATGAACAGAGAGCATAAAATTCTTAGCTTCTACAGTATAATTCTATTAGTGTTCAATTAAACACACTGCTGCACGCTACAATATAGTAGTCTATATTATATGTAGATTTTGAATTTCTAAACAGACGATAAAAAGTTTTGACCTAAGTAATACTACCTACGGGAACTATTTTCAAATACGCTTACGAATATCACAAAATATATGCAGTAATATATATTACTTTTAGCGGTTTAAGTTAATAAGGCGTTCGATAATTACTGAAATCGGTCTAAAACACAGAATTTTATCTTATTATTTAAATATTGTAACTGTGATTATGTTGCTACGTCTGTAAACATTATTATAGTGCTAACGATGTAATTAAATGGGAATGATATTTGAAAAGTAATGGTTATTCCACATACCACTCTGCAAGGTTGCTTTAATTTCGTACATAATCCATCAGGCTTATGCGAATAATGCTTCACTAAATCCTTAAGGGAAACAAATTGTCGAGTTCTGGCAATATAGTACTTATTGTCTTCAGATCTTCTAATACGGTAATGCTTGATGGTGTTGTCGATACGAGTAGATAGAGAGTAGTCGTTTGCTCGGGTTTCGCTGGTACGAATAAGGAAAGAGCCATCTGTATTTACATCAGTAAGTAACCTCATTTCTGCTTCACTTCGCTTAGTATGGCCAAAGTACCAACTAGAATAAAAGGATTAAGTAGGGGAAATTATCATCTATAGACTAAGCTAAAATCAGTATCAACACTTTAAATAGGATATTTTTGGTAGAAATGTATGAACGAGCAGAATGGCCACTAAAGCTTTATCAGTTTAGTTGGCTTTAGTAGTACAAGCATTTTTCTAGCGCCGTTGTACTGTTCGCAAATTGCAGAAGATGTGACTACGGATTTTATAATGTTAATTGTTGAATAAAGATAATACATAAAAATTAAACGGATTAATTCACATTTCGGTGCGAGTTTAATCAATAATTCATAATTATATATCCAAATAGCACTACAGTATACTTTCACACTTCTCACAAATATCATAAACTATAAGATAGATCATCCATGTGATGACCTAAATTATTTGAAAAAGTCTCCTATTATTATTATTTAGCAATATTGCAATTGAAGTATAAAGTGAATACGTCATTAAAATTAAAATTAATGAAAGGTGAAATGTCCGCTAGCTCTGCTGAAAACTTTGTAATTGCTCGCTCGCCATATAATAGAAATAATAAAGAGCAAATTCTCCAGGAATGTTAATACAACAGCGTTAATCTATATAATCATTCGATCAACCTACAAGTGAAATGAGATTAAGACGTCCTTAAAAGTTGACGGTAATTCAGGGATCAGATGGGTAATATACTCGTACGAGGAATTTGGATTAGTTACTTGTCATTGTAGACTGTCCTACGATTTCATTGGCGATGAATCGAGGAAAATCTAGACTAACGCTACTATCACCCTAGATTCAGATCATTACAGACATTTGTTTCTTTCGAATAATTTAGGCAATGAACTCGTACTTTCACTAACAGTCCTTTTGACAAATTATTTCTGAAGTTTTTGTATTATCTGTGCTGTGACAGCATTACTTTTCATTTGGATAGTATAACATGCAATTGGTCATACAGCACATGTGATGGATGATATGCATAGAGGTAATTTGGATATCCATGTGGGTCCTTTATTAAATTAACTAATAGCATTTATAATTATCGAATCAGAGCTGCGATGGACTAAAGCTAAAGAAATTGTAGATGAATATAAAAATGGCATCAACCTGCAGGCTAAAATCTAGTTATCCAGTGGCGTATGATGTTAAACCCTTAGGCAATCAAGCTTATCCCAATCACAGAAAGTGCTCTATCTCATCAGATGCCATTTTTTTCCGACCTTTCCTTTTACGTTAAGAGTCTATAGTAAAATTGATTCCTATTCCTTGAATCATCAATACTTCATCATAAAATTGCTCCAAGTCATGGCAAGAGAGCATCAGTTATAAACGGTACACCGATTACTTTACATTCATCTATTACAAAAAGGCGATGCAACCATTTAAGTTAGCATTTAAATCTGCTTCTGTACTTTAATTTTCAGCAATTTGTCAGCTGTTAGCAGTCCTTGACAAAGAGCAGCGCTTAACTTTGTTGACTGTAAATAATACAGTACCTAAGGGCTTTTATCGTACAATTAATATTTAACATTTTGACTCAATGCTTCAAATTGAAATCGAAATGACGTAATACCTTGTGGGATAATACGAATACATAAGGAATTCTACTGCTAATGGAAATCAATCGTTAATCAGAATTAAATGGGCGTTCAAAGTCAGCCAAGAAGTAAGACTGTAAGAAGAGTTTAGTCTACAGTATGATTAGTTTACATAGGCTAATCACTATCGAATATCAATTTGGAGAAAGGATTGACCAGTCTAAGATTGCCAAGATTAGCTTGTCGATTAAATAATATCTTGCAAAATAGTCAAATCTCGATATTCTAATCTTTATTAATGACTAAGCCGTAGCATACTGTACTGTATAGTACTTGTGCATTCATTAAAAACACGCCTTCAATTAAGGAGATTACTGGCTGCAATAAAATGAACAAGATAGGCAATCTTTAGCCCAAACGTGTAATTCAACATCAGGAAAAAGCAACAATGAAATGTGTTGTGTAACTGTCAATATTTTTCGAGAACTCAATCATACGCTATAGCTCTTCGATAAAATAAATGCAACGGATTTAAAATTCTACTGATCAACACCCATAGGTGAAGATTTACAAATTTTACTCCAATTTTGTTGATTACACTGTATACGGTAAAGTACAGTTAACGGCTGTGAAAGTTCTGCGTAACTGCTTTAGTTTGTAGTTGGGTTGGACGAAGGATCACTCCCCAAAAAGTTTTTGACCGTGGTTACATTTATATCAAATGTAACTAATTTAAAAGACGTAACATAGCGGATAAAAATGTAATTTTATCATGTAATAGATAGTTTGTAAATAGAATACTAACATTTTTCTCCCAACTGCAACAAGAATCAATTTCTATTACAATATTCTATGAGTATACAAATGACTGCATTGATCGTTGAGAGTTTTAAAACGCATACAAACGTATTTTTGTACAGATTTACAAACAGCTTGAGTATTATTTTTTTTTTTTGGTGGGGGGGGGGGGGGTTATCCGGCGCAATATTGTATCGCACTTTGTCTCTTGCTGGCATATGCAACCTAATCCAAGACTACTCTGGTAATTCTGTGGATAGCAGGTCGATATTATGGGTGAAAAAAAAGGATATTATTTGTTGTCCTTTACCGTTAGTGTAACAGAAGTTGTCCTATACTGTAGGTCATTATCGTCGATGGACGGTGGGTACTTTGGATGTTTTTGGGAGACGGGGAGGGTTAATATTGACTATTTCGATGCGGTCTTTCGCTTAACTACGTCGGCATACGTGCAATATACAAGCAAAACTGTCGATCACATCGGACATTATCGATAGAAACTAATTTTGACAAGTGCGGCCATACTCCTTCTTATACGTTAAACATGACGGTATAGAATGTTTATATGAAAGACCATACGCTATGTGGCAGGGATATTGTGTTATTATTGTAACGCAATATCGCACAATCAACAAATAAGATAGAAATCAACATATTGCGAATGTCTATCAAAGTGAAAAGAGAATTTCAACATGACGAAGGACTTACGGTTCTGCTTCAAGTGATGTAATATCAGCGACATAATTTCGGGGAATATAACCCGTACGGCCAGTACGTCGAGAGCGAGCAAACCACCAGTCTCGACCTGATGTAGTATACCTTCTTTCAACGTCCATTTCTTCACCAAGTGCAAATGGTAAATCGTCGGCTGTACGAGGCGTATAATTATACAAGGCACGCACGATTACTGTTTCTTGATTTCCATTTACTCGTTGGATTGGATTATCAGGGCGTCTAGGCACTGTTGGCCGTACAGCTTGTCCCTCGGTGATGGCATTAAACGGCCGAGGATGATGGCTTGGAGTGGGTTGATTAGGAGATGATAGACGGAAACAGGTCAATGTATTGCCCATGTTGAAATAGTAAAGGAGAAGCAATGTCGTCAACTAATGTCAGTGGGCAAATGTGAATAATATTAATCAATTTTTTTTTTTCAACCGATTGAAGACGAAAGTAGGCCAATTGCAACGTTTCCTACCCAAGCTTGCAATAGAATGGATGCAATCAATATAACAGCAGATGAAAAGTATTTACAATTAATTGAGATTAATTGTGGCTGAGGATGAACAGTTGGAACTGTAGTCCAGTACAAGGCCAAAGGAAATGGTATAATTTTACAGGTCTATTTTGTATTATGGGACGAGTATTGTCTTTCTTGGGTACAGGTAATCGATGACAATCAATTTGATGATGGATAAAATGATGCAAAAATTGCAATGGTAGAGTAGTGGATCCCAAGCAAACAAGGCGTCTACTGCTTAATTTAGCAATGGTGTCGTCAATCTTCAAGATAGAAGTAAAATAGTCACTCTCTTTTCTTTTACAGCGCTACTGCCTGATACTATTGAAAGTGTTGTTGCCAGTCTAGTGTCGATCAACAAGGTTGGCAAGGATGGAAGAAGGGCA